ACATATCTACATGGAAAAGACTGGAAAGAAGTACATCCAAGTGCCAACAGTGGTTTTCTGGGTGGTAGGATCATGAATGATTTTATTTTTCTCCTGTAATTATACTTACATGTGGTTTGCAAATGGCCTGCCCTGAGCCTTGTAATACCCATGTGTGAGCCCATCCAGGAAGGATCCCTTGCAGCCATCAGAGCAGTAGCTGACGTTTATTTCCCCAGCGCTTCCTTTGTGCAGGCCCCTTGCTCTGAGTGCTGTGCACACTTAGCCAACTTCACTTTCACAAGAACCCTGAGGTAGGCCCTCTTATCATCATTTTATCAGTGAGGAAACTGAGGTACAGAAAGGTTGAGCATTTATCCAAGGGCATGGGGCTGGTCTGTGACAAACCAGGACAGAACCTGGAGTGTCACACGCTGCAGCCTGGGCTCGTGGTGTTTCAGCCTAATCCATTAATAACAGTGCGGCCACTAGAGGAGAAAAGACGAGGGTACTTACACGGCCCCGAGCCAGAGCCTTGAAGTCTGATTTATGAAGAGCTCTGTACCGGGTTTCTTTTCCATTCTCTTTCTGAAGTATCCTTGTTCCTCCTGAACAGATGAGAATCCCAAGCAGCACATCCCCCTGGAGGAGTACACCGCGAATTTAAAGAGCATGGTGCAGTACCTGAAGTCTGTGGACATCCCTGAGGACAGGGTCATTCTCATCACCCCGCCCCCTCTCTGTGAGACGGCGTGGGAGAAGGAGTGCCTCGTGCAAGGTAAACGCCGCCTACAGTCTCAGCAGACCTGTCTGTGAGTGCCGAGGCGAGCTGACACGGGACAGTGGTTTCCAGCCACTGGGCCTCAGGTTCCTGGGGGTCTGTACATCCGTATCATCTGTGTTTTCAATCAACAGAAATTAAACAGAAAACATATAGCTTCCATTATGTCACACCCGAGAACCCTCTGACATAGAAGAGGGATTCTCGCTTTGGATGAGCGAGGCTCTCAGAAAAGTCAGATAAACTGCAGTTCCCCGCATGGAGATGTTGTGCTTTGGCCTGAAGGCGGCATTTGTGGTCCTGACTTCCCAGCGGTGGGAGGTGCGTGCTGCCAGTTGCCTATTTCCATCTGTATGGGGCCCCTTTCCCGCTCTGCCTCTCCGCCTATGGGACTTTTCATTTTCCCCCAAAACAAAGGCTCCTCTGCAGGCTTACAGACACTGAGGCGCTCAAGTGCAAGGGCACTCCCACTTCACTTGTGACTGAGCCACTGAATGCAGCTCTTAGGCATGCCAGGACCAGGTTTCTGCCTTGCTACCACCACAGGCACTTCTGTCCCCACAAGGTGTTCATCCTCGCAGCTTTATGTGCTATGCCAGGACCTGGCAGGTGCTCAGGATCCAGAAATGACTAGAATCCAGTTCCTGCCTGTGGGCTAGTGAGGAGACAGTCATGTAAATAACATTTGCAGCAGCATAATAAATGGTATAACAGAGATATTAGTAAAGGTCTGTTGAAAGTACTAAAGCAGAATCCAGAGGTGTCAAGGAGAGCTCCCCAATGGAGGTAAATAGGGAAGGTTTACCATGGAGAGAATTTGTAGGGAGGAGGGAGCTAGGCTAGCTGTCATCAGATACTTGAAGGGCACTGTCACGGAAGGAGGATGAATGAAACACCCTGTTGTCAGCTCCAGAGGACAAAGCGAGGACCCCCGGTGGGCATCATCTGAGGCGAATTCTGGCTTCTAAGTGTTCTGCCTCGCACAGGGATTGCTTGTTGCAGGAAAGGTTCATGCTAAGCCGGATGACCAGGGGTATGCAAGTTACAACTATGTCGGTGCTTCTCAAATTGCAGGTCACAACCCATTCATGGATCATGAAACTGAGTTAAATTTTTCTTAATAGAACAGAATAGAAAACAAATCTGGATGTAGAATGCAGTAGGCATCGTTCTGTGAGGCTTTTTCGCTTATCTAGATGGGCGTGCATTACTGCTGTAAAACATACTTAGTACTTTAGTTTTAGCCAGGTTAATGAGCCGTCGTCCGATGCTCATGCATGGTGGTTGTGTGATCCCAGGTTAGCAGGTCAGCCCCTGGGGGCTTGGCTTGGGAGAACTGCAGGTTCTTGGGCTCGTCCCAGACCTGCGGGGTCAGAACGCGAGGGGAGGGGCCGTGAAGTCCTCCAGGTGACTCTCCTCATGCTTAAGTTTGGAAATCACCACACTGGAGTCGAGCTCAGCAAACTGGCCCACTGGCTGCAACAAATCAAGTTCTGTTGGGAGACAGCCAGGCCGATTGGTTTATGCATGGTCTGTGGCTACTTTCAAACGCCACTGGCAGGGTTGAAGAGTTACTAACGTAGAGCATATGCCTGCATAAGCCTAAAATACTTATTATTCAGCCTTTTTCGGAGAGAGGTTGCTGACCCCTGAGCTAGCCTAAATGACCTCTGTGGCCCCTTCCAGCTCTCACCTTCTCTGGTTGAAAGTCTACAAATGATTTCTTCACTGTACTGCAGTGGCTTCTCATTACGCATAAAAACTCGGGTCTTGGCACAACATTCCTCTCCAGCAGACCCCTTACTAGCCGCCAGTCCAAGTCCATTCGCCTCTGGCCTGCACCCTAGCCAAGCAGACCAGCTCGCCCAGGGCTCTCCTGCCTCTGGACCTCTGCTGACGATGTCCTCTAGAATGCCTGCCGTGGTGACCACCAGTGGCTCCCTCGTCCCCATCATGCTTGGTCCTGTACTGGACAGACAGCACCCTCCCCACCCGCCATGGCTGGCCTGAGTCAGGTCCATAAGTCCGTGCCTGTTTATGTGAACTGAGAAACCATCTAGATCAGTAGAACCTGCACAAGGACCAATACTTGGGTTTATCAGTTGCCTCCTGGATTTTCTCTCTCCTCAATAGGTTGCAAATTAAATCGCCTGAACTTGGTTGTTGGCGAATATGCCAGTGCCTGTTTACGAGTAGCCCAAGACTGTGGGACTGATGTGCTTGACCTGTGGAGCCTGATGCAGAAGGACAGTCAGGTACGGTGGCTTGCTGAGTCCTATCGGGGTGAGTAGGATCCCACAGAAGAGACCTAGCTCCGTGTGGCTCTGCCTGGAGTGGCTCTGGGTAGGTAAGATCGTTGTCTCTGTCACCACTTAAAACAAGTTGGGTGGAAGGGAGGAAGTGGAGAGGCTGCGGGGCAGCTTGCAAAGCCAGCACCTTCTTCAGCCTGTTCCGCAGCTGCACGCAGCAGTCTGCCTCCCTGTTAGCATATAGTGAAGTAAATGAGCAACAACTGGGTCATATGTAAGAACGTCCAGGCCAAGTTCTTTCATAATAAGGCGTAGGGGGGAGTAAAACTCGTTAACAGGCAAAACAATGAATCTAAGCATATGGTATTAGCTAAAATTCCTATTTTGAGGGACATAGTTCTAGTTAAATTATTTTGTGTAAAGCCGGAAAGCCCATTACAAATATAAATGGTAACAGCTGGTCCCCGTACAGAACGGTACAGCCACTGAGGAAGACGGCCTGACGGCTTCCTGTACCGTCACACGCTCACCTAGGACCCAGCAGTGCCACCCCTGGGTGTTTACGCAGAGAAAAGAGAAAACTGTGTTTCAGTCTTGCTCTGAAACCTTGACTAGACTTGACCCCTTTGTGGGGTCCCAGGTCAGGAGCGGCTTGAGAGCTAGAGCGGACAGCGTCCAGAGTTCTGGTTTTGTCTGCATTAAGCTTCCACCTGAGGTAGTTTGGGAAAATTGTGCTGCTAAAGGAAATTACAGACTATTGGGCTAACTGCTCTTACAGGCCCTTTTAGGTTTAACACTAGGATTTCCCTTTTGGTTCAGATGCTCTCCAACGGCAGAGATGAGAAAGCTTAAGGGCCGGGAGAAGTGCCATCAGAACGGGAATCCCTAGGCTGTGAAAGTCGTGAACTAGCTGGCTGCCCAGGTTCATACAGGGATCGGGGGAGCCCTCGCTTAGGGAAAGATGCCTCCCCAAAGGAGCAAGGGCTCTAATGGTAAATGTTCCTGAGATCAGGGCATGGCAGGGACTGGACTCCTGTCTTGTTCGGGGCTAGATGGTGCAAGTTCTTTCCACCTAATAACCTGCCTATCAACTTAATACCTAGACAAAGCAAAAACATTCTGACACACTGGGCCCTGAGCTCTTTTAACACCAAATTTTTTTGTTTTTGCTATTACATTAATGAATCATTTTCACTCCTTAAGCTCTTCTTCCATCTGATGATCTGGAAGGTCTCAGCTCAGGCACTTAATGGTGTGAGGTTTCAGGAAGGTCCGTCTGTACTATGCAGATACTCCTGTGAGCACTGGATGAGATCATGCAAACAGCACCCAGAAGCTACTCCAGTTCCAGAGGGCTGCTGGTCAGGGGCTGGAAACAAGGGGCTGGCTATTTGCCAGTCGAGGTCACAGATGGCCGAGTAGTGCATACCAGCATTTGGAAAACTTACGTACATTTAACTGAGTTCTCTCTCTCTCTCTCTCTCAGGACTTTCCATCCTATTTGTCAGATGGACTCCATTTATCACCAAAGGGAAATGAGTTTGTGTTTTCCCATCTTTGGCCTTTGATTGAGAAGAAAGTCTCTTCCCTGCCTTTGCTGCTCCCTTACTGGCGAGACGTGGCAGAAGCAAAGCCAGAACTAAGTCTTCTGGGAGACGGGGATCACTAGTCAGTCACTGAAAACCAAGTCTGGCTGTTAACTTACAGAACAAGAAGTCGCCGGTGCACAAAGAGCCCAAGATAAGCCATCAATCAAAGAATATTTTTTGTCTCAAGCATAAACCTTGCCTCATGACCCTGGAATAAGAAATTGCTAACACTTGCCACCGAGGTTAATAAAGCATTAGAATTCTTCAGGGAAGCTTTGTACCCGGGTGCACTGTACTTTGATAATAAAGATTGATTGATTGATCCAGGTGTCGCGAGTGCCACAGCTACAAAATATACCCTGAGCAGCTTAACTCTATAAACGGAAAAAAACGTAAAGACAGTTTTGTTTTTAAAAAAGTCACAATTTTATAAAAAAATGTTTCTTACATCCAGCTGGGAACTGTTTCACTCTCACACATACACCCACACACCCCACTCACCTTAATCAGATTCCAAAAGTGAAACTAAAATATAAGAATATTGTGACTAGTTAAAAGACAGCAAATACCACAAGGTACAAGTTCAAGTATTAGTGTAACAGGTATCTGTGTAACAAACGTCCTCAGGAAAAAGACGCTATGTCACAGGTTTGGTTGATTACCCTTGAAGTTCACAAGTTCTCGCAGTTAAAATGTGTTGGCTGGTGAGCACATTTCATACTTAGGGGGAAAAAGGTTTTAACTATAATTTTCAGGAAATCGGAATTCATGCTGATGAATTTGATCCTTCACACAGTAAATGCAGACGTCCAGAATCCTGAAGCGCGAAAGCAAGAATAATGCAGATGTTCACTTGCGGGGCCACGGAAAGGGTTTTTAAGAATCAGTCTGTGCGGGGACAGAGCCCCAGGCCCAAGGGAGGCAGCACTCTCCCCAACACCCCCCCGGCCAGCACGGCAGACCCCGGCCCATTGAAAACCACCCGTTCTTCTGGTGAGATAAACGATCAACGTACCCTCTTGGCCACTAGTGTTTCAAAAGAGGCGACCGTACACTCTTGGTTTGAAGCGGTTTAGGTTTTGTGAATGGTGAATTTAAGAGCATGGCTACAGTATTAGAGATAGATGAAGATACATACAAAACACAGGAAACTGCCCAGCAAATCAGGGCCTTAAGCAGTTGGCAGGATTCTGTAAATTCAATTTGGCTACTATTTGTAACCCTCACTATAAGTTAGAATGTTTTAATTCTGGAAAGTATGAATTTTAGAATTAAGAAGAAACTGATTACTCCAAATTATTCCTAAATTTAGATGTGTGAATCTCCCTGGTGCTAAAAGCTCCGAGAAATAACCTAGAAACAGAACACACCTTTTGGAGATAACATACAACTCTATTTTATCTCCTTTGTCTTTACTTGAAGGCAAAAAATAAATAAATCCATTCTGTGTTCCAGTTGTCCTCACAAGTAACTGCTAAATGCCTCATTATATTCAGCCGGTCATTACAGTGTATAAAAAAGAAAAAATTGATCATCTCCCTAATCAGTGCTATTATCAATATAAAAGGTTAATTTACAAAAACATAAATATTCATAACCTAATCCAGCTGTATTTTATGCTTTTGCACCACAGGTTGAAGGATGTTTTAAAGATCAAAAAAACTAAAACCTGAAAGCCTCAAAATAAGCTAGATTCCACCTCAGCTCTCCAAAAGGAAAAGGGCCGACCCACACAAGTGTTCCATACGAGAAGGAAGTCCGAACACACGAGCAGCAGCTGCTGAGGTCACTTCCTTATTTCTCCCCAGTCTTCACAAAATATATGCAGTGATTTTAGGTCAGATCTATAGAAATACTTTGCACACTTGAGTCAGAGAGCTTAGGACAGCTCCCTCACCTAGCACTCTGTTTCTTTGCTGTCAACACGACTCTGACGCTGCAGCTTAAAGGACGAGGCCTTTTCACTTCTCGTCACAGGACGGTCCGTGAGATCCTCAAACGACTTGGCAGCTGTGCTGCTATTTGGGAAGGGGTCCTTCTCAAAGCCGTCCTCATCCACATGCGAGTCTGTGCTGGGGTCCTCCTGGATGGTGTCCATCCGCTGGTGGTCCAGTTTCGGAGCCACAGGCACCGAAGGGATCACGGGGGCGGGCTGCAGGGGCTGCAGGCGGCCTGGGGTCTGGGGGGCGGGAAAGGGCTTGATGATGCGAACCGATGCTGAATCCATGCTGCTGAGCATTTCGACATTCTGGAAAGACATGCAAGTCAAAGGTGAATCATAGGTCCCACAGCTCCGCCCTGACCACGCAGATGTCTTCCGAGGTCGGCGCTGAGCCCTGCTGCAAGGAGCGCCCTCAACCTCGAAGTGACTCAGTCAGCTTTCACATGTCCTGACAACTTGCCATTTGAAGACCCAAAACAGAACTCATAAGAAACAGCCCTATCAAGTTACGTTCCCAAGACAGGAACAGATCTCAAATATTACACTAAGTCAGTCATGCCGAGAAGCCAAGTCGCTCACAGCTGGGGGGGGGCACAGCAGCACCCCTTTGCTTAAATCTCCATCTGGGCAACAGAGCTGCAGGCAACAAGTTCATTGCCACTGTTGTCACAAGAATGTACCTTAATATCGGACCTAGATCGTCCTGCTGCAGTGACCTTCCACCAGCCAAAGAAGGCACAGCTGCAAAGGCTGGCGGGTCTTGCTGGGGTGGCCAGCTGAAGGTCTCTGCCTAGCAGGGTCTCAAAGTGCGACTGACAATGACGCTCTTCCGTGCTGTATACTTACACTGGGGTGAAACAGAGACAGAGACTCATACTGCTTATCCAGTTTCTTATCCTAGGAAAAAAAGCACAGGGAAAACGGTCATTCGTACAAACAATTCAGTTTGTGAAAAGGCGCTTTCCTTACAGGCTCCTCCTATTATTAACTGAAGAACTCACTTAGAACTTGAGAGGCAGAAAGTAGAAGCAGGGCCAGTAGAGGAGAATGAATTTCTTACGTAAGCTTTAAGGAGCTCTGCCACCAGCCTAGAAGTGTTCCCTTTGCACAGGAAGGAATCATGTCTTTTGGCATTAAGGAAATAGACACGGCTGAGTGCTATCTTTCTGACATTCCCTCGTGGGCAGGAGAATAGAGCATCTCCCTGTGTGCTCAGTGGTCAGACCCTGTCCAGACCCTGGGGACACAGGGCCCTGCTGACCAGGAGGGCAGCTGGTGGGAAGGCTCAGAGGGCCATGCTTGCAGTCTCAGCCGGCACTGGCCTCAAACTGTCCCAGAGTTACTATGGCCCAAACGTTAAGAGGAACAGGGTCTCAAGTCCCTCCATCACACATCTGCAGAAAGCTGAACACGTAGTTCTGTCTGCTGCCTGGTCCCTGCCATATAACAGATGACAAAGGGCATGGCAGGAGGCCGAGCCCAAGAATCTAGGCCAGGCTTCCAGTCCGGCTGCCCTGAATATATTCTCTGGTCACAAAAAAGCCACTGCCCTGCCTCCTGCAGCAGCTTTGCTTGGAAATCGAGGATCAGGCCTCATGGTCCACAACCGTAACTTCCACTGTCACTTTCACTCAGGTGAAAGCATCTGTAATGAACAGCACTGTCGGCCGCTGGCCGAAGCTTCAGCCCTGTGGCCTTTAACACAGCTTTGCTTTAGCAGAACTGCCCCCTAGAGAGCTTCCTCCCCGTGCTCATCATGCTCACCACCCCGAGGAAAAGCCGCTCAGTGAGACGGCCCAGGCAAGAGAAGGCAGCGGGAAAGGAGCGGAGGCAGAGGCAGTGAAGATCCCGCGAGTCCGCTGAGCTGGAACTTCCCAAGCGCTCACATGAGGGGCATTGCGCAAGAGTTTCAGAGGACAAGCGTGGAAGCCCGGGTCTGATTCCTCATCTCTACAGCAGACAAATCCTCATTTTCCCACAGAAGCAAGGGGAATAGATTTTTGAGAAAATTTTTGAAAAAGGGCCCCAAGTTTATAAACTACCTGGAGGTCCTCAGACACAGCCCAATTCAACTTGTTAGCTGTTACTCATTTTGAACAAGAATCAAAAAGATTGCTCACTTATTAATCGGAAGGCCCTGAATACCCTATACGGTCATGCCAAGAATCTCTGTGGCACAGGGCACCATCTTTGGAATGCTGACGTTTGATATTTGCTCTATTATAACAAAATCAGCCTGAAAATGCTCATTTAGAAGCTTCCCTTATCAGAGGTCCTAGACAAATCCAGTTAGTCTCCTGTGCTTAGAAGTACAAAATTCCTCAGAAATTATACATGAGAAAAAAACATCCACACACAAAGAGTAAATTCTTCTAAAAGACTGTTAGAAAAACAAAAGACCATTAGATTTTTTTTTTTTTTTACATTTTTTTAAATCCTTGGGATAACACCAAAAAAGTGTCACTGAAAACATCAGATCAGATTTTGCTAAGAACAGATTTCATATTTTCTAAAGGTTATATGGTTGGAGTTGCTCAAAATTTTAATAAAATGTTTCATTACTTAAAAATTGTGACTTACCACACAATGGACAAGAATGCTGAAAGGAATCCAAAATATCAAGGAGAAAACCAGGACGGAACCTACGATGTTGTCTGCTAAAAACTTCCCTGTAACAATTCCAAACAGTGAATGTCTTGATCAAGTACTTTAGAAATCTAAAATTAAACGTTCTTAGTGTATTACCATTGGGTCAAATGCCACAGATCGCCGGCTAGAATAAACTGACGCAGTACTGAAAGGAGTGTCTACGCCACCTATGCTAGATCTAACCACCTCCCCACGCCACGGTGCTTTTCCAGAAATAGCCCTGATACACTCGTCGAGAAGAACAGATTAAATCACAGGGTGCTCACCAGGACCCCTGAAGTAATGGTGTCAATGGACGATCAACAGAAGGCTACTACTAGTAACAATGCGTACGACGACAGTGTTGTTACTATCTGGGTATTATTTTTGTGACTAAACTCTCAATTATGTACCCTAGAGGACACAATACGTCCTTGCTTCTGCAAAATCTGAGGCCCACTTTTAAATAAATGATTCTTACATCAAACAAAATTCAGATTTACAGTCTATAGGACTGAACCACACTTAGGCTGTCACGTGTTCATTTTTTAGTGAAGAAGGAAGCCAATATTTTGACTCAGTATTGACTTTCCTTGTCTGAAAATCTGGGCATCATCCTAGACAGGAGCAGACCTATAATGGGTCCATTTTATTTTAGCCAACAAAGCTATTTCAAAACAAAAGCAGTGACTATTTCCATCCTCTACCCCAGGATCAGAGGATATCAAGTCTGACACCACACTTTTCTAACGTCATCACCAAAGTCAGCTAATTTCTAAGCAAATAATTACCTGGGGAAATCACCTACCAAAAGTATTGATGCTCAGTTGGTCAATGAAGTCCCAAAATCGCTCAATGACGTCCTGTACTCGTTTCTCACATTTGCCCTATGAACAGAAAACAGGCAGCATTACTCCCAAAAGCAATGCATTTAGAAGTAATGTGGCTTTATAAAAATAATTGATAAGAAAAGGGCTTCATTAAAACCAAACATCTAGAGGACCCATCTTTGACTGAGGGCAATAATTTAAGTGTAATGAGTACCTAAGAAAGTAGGATACACTGTCATTGACACTTCCACAATTAGTCAGTTTTTATAAGTGAACTTAGAATTACCAGGAGACAAAATTCGAGAAAACCAGTTTGTTAAAGATGGGGCATTCCAGTCAGGACACACTGATCACACACACACAAAGTGGACAGGAAGAACACCGCCAGCCCGCCTGGAGCAGCCTCTCTACCCTGACATCCTCTTCCACGACTGCCTCAATCCCACTTTGTTGGAAGAGAACAAAAGGGTCTGGCTTAGGTGAGTAAAGTGTTTCTGGGTCTTTCCTATTCAATCAGCACCTGTTTCAGATTCAAAACTTGCAATTCCACAATCTTAGTCAATTTTATAATTAGCGTGGAAAACCAAACAAGACTCACCACCTAAAACCAATCAACTTTACCAAAAAGTCCCCCCAAGGCCCTGCCCAGTCTCTGGACCCAGGGCCCCTGCTCTGGAGGGAGTGTGCTCCAGGCTCCCAAGAGCACCTGGCCTCTCCCTCTCAGGCACCCACACACACTTAACCAGACTCTGACACGAGAACAAACAGTGGGTCAGAAAGACATGGCAGGGGTCCTGCGCTCTGCTGTGGCGGCCCAGGGTTTCACTGGGTTGGATCCTGGGCGCAGACATGACACCACTCATCAAGCCATGCTGAGGTGGCCTCCCACATGCCACAACTAGAGGGACCCACAACTAAAACATACAACTATGTACTGGGAGGATTTGGGGAGAAAAAGCAGGAAAAAAAAATTGGCAACAGTTGTTAGCCCAGGTGCCAATCTTTAAAAAAAAAAAAAGACAGACACAGCAGCATTTGGGTTTTGATTTCCTTCTATTTGCTAAATCAAGTATTTACAATATAAAAACTTCCCATCTGGCTGTTACAGAAAAAGCTGTACATAAATACTCACATTCATGTCACAAAATCCTACTGTACAAGGCTTTCCTTTCCTCAAAAACAGGTTCTTTTGTTCAGCGTCAACGTAGGGCACACAGCGGCCTGAGGGGTCCCTGCAGCACACCTTGCACGAGTTGTCAGTTTCTGAAACACAGAATGTGACTGACAGCTGGAGTTTCTTAGCCACACGCCTCTCCTCTTTCCCTTCTCATCTCCCTACCGTGCTCCCAAAGGGGAAGAAATTGCACTCGTGTTTTTTTCTTTTTTCTTTTTTGAGGAAGATTAGCCCTGAGCTAACATCTGCCACCAATCCTCCTCTTTTTGCTGAGGAAGACTGGCCCCGAGTAACATCCGTGCCCATCTTCCTCTACTTTATATGCGGATGCCTGCCACAGTGCAGCTTGACAAGCAGCGCCGTGTCTGTATCTGCGATCCAAACCGGCAAACCCCGGGCCGTAGACGTGGAACATGCCCTCTTAACCACTGCGCCACCGGGCTGGCCCCTGCACTTGTGTTTTATTTCAATAGTTAATACTATCCATATCACTCCTAAGAAATAACTTTTGAGTTCACGCTCCTCAGCCCTCAGAGAGGGCAACGTAAAAACAATTTACACAGAAAGTTTCCTTTCTTTAATAGATTAAAAGCCAAATTATTCTATTTCAAATCCTTCATAATGCTTAATGTTTCCCTTTGTCCCAAGATTCTTACTACACTACTGATTTCAATCCTTGGCTTCTGAGTTTCAAGTACACCCTGGGGAGCCGAGGCTCCAGCGAGAGCCACCACGGCTGGGACAGAACTGCCGCGCTGCCGGTGAGGAACTGAGGGGCCTGCCGCAGCCTAAGCACACCACCACCCTCGATCAAGACCAACCTCCGCCAGCTCAGGGGGCAACAGGAAACGGGAGGGCATCAAATGAGCCGTCTGGCACACAGGAACGGCAAATGCCCAGAAGCCCACTGGCAGTGTGACTCAGGGGGCAGTCTTTACTGACCAGGGAATGTCCATATTTATATGTCGGAGAAACTGAAATCAACTAGAACACAAAAAATGAGCAAAACCACCTTAAACGGAAAACAAAATCCTTTCCATGTGCATTCATTTATCAAGCATTTCCTGGGCATTTACTATGTGCCTTCCAGGGACACAAGCCTCCTGCCACTCACTCAATCACTGATCCGGCATCCACTGTGTTATCTTCATTTACGTGTTACTCCACCGGGAAGGGCCACCCACTCCACTGATGCACAGACGGCAGGTTCCCAACCCCACGGTTTTGATTCTGGGGTTTTTGTTTGGAAAGCAACAGAATTCTCTCTGAGATGGGGTGGGAAGCTCAGAGCCCAGTCAGTCCCTGAGGCCCCTTCCTCTATCCTCTACGTGGACCCAGGGGTTCCAAAGATAGTGTGGAAACCTGAGGATGAATGTCTGAGAGGCCAGAATGATGTCACCAACCATCACTAAGTGAGGCCCCTGACCCAGGCACGTGGCAGGGAGCAGAGGGCAGCAGGCCTAGCACTGCCGAAGATGGCAAACCTCATGACAGTCAGTCAGATCCTGGGCTGAGCTCTCTCTGGCTGGAGTCTTAAAGGAGCGTGTCCTAGTTCACTGCCAGTGAACTCAGACAGCTCCTCCTGCTTTCATGGAGTGTATGACATGAGGGAAGGAAGGTGAAGACAAACCTCCACCTGCCCACAACCACAACACAACCTCCCCCCCGACCCCTAAGCCTGCCACATGGTCTGCAAACACAGCAAGAAGGAAGAGCAACAGGACAGTTTCCACAGACACAGTGGAGGAGCCAGGATCTGAATCCAGAGAGGTCTGTGTCCACACTGCTGGGTTCTCACCACTGCCCTGAGCAGCAGTGAGCAGCTGACACTACCGAGCCCCCAAGTGGAGGGAGGGAGCCCGGCAGACACAGGCCGTTTCCCCTGCCGCAAGGATGCGGCACAGCCATGCGCTCACCGTTACACGCACAGGACTCCAGCTGCTGCTCCCTCTCACAGAAGGGAACACACTTCCCGTCTTTACACTTGCCAAGATCCAAGCACACGGTGTCATCTGCAGCATTTCCGGGCGGGGGGCATTCACTGCTGTTCCCTGGAAGCACATAGCGAGCATGCAGGTCACGACGAGTCACAGCCACCAGTTCTGGGGCGAGCTGCACCGATTCTCACAAAGGGGAGCACCTCGCCTCCAGAGTAGGCAAACCCACAGACAGAGCACGTAGATTAAGGTACAGGTTTCTTTTTGAGGGGATGAAAAGGTTCTAAAGTTGACTGTGGTGGTGTTTGCACAAATGTGAACACATTAAAAACGACTGAAGTGTACACTTTAAATGGGGGAATGGTCAGGTATGTCAATTATATCTCACTAACGCTGTTACAACCAAAGCAGACAGGAAGACAGAAAAAGGTAAGAACATAGATACAGCAGACAAAGAGGAACACAAAAAATAGGATGGCAAACTGAATATTAAATAAAACAATTTAAGTCAAAAAACCCCACAAGGGTCAAAAAGGAACAGTATACACTGGTAAAGGAATAGCAGATGAAGAAGACGGAGAGCCTACGTCCAGGAACGTACCTACTAATGCAGCTCTGAAATGTCTAAGGACAACTGACGGAACCACAGAAGATCCGGCCAATTAACACAGGCGGTTTAAAGATGAGCTCCAGATGGATTACAGCCCAAAATGTAACAGGTAAGACTGTGAAGCTAATAGAAGCAGCTGTGGAAAATATCTTTGTAACCGTCCACAATTCAAAAAAATAGACACACATACCACAAAATGACAGACTTGATTACATTAAAATGAAAGATTATTGCTCCAAGAAGGAGAACAGCTAGGATGAAGGTGTATGCAATGTTTACACTAAACTGATTATTATACAAGAATTCCTCCAAATCAGTAATAACAAAAACACATGAAACCCAATTTTTAAAAATGGACCAAATCACAGCAACGTGGATGGACCTCGAGAGTATTATGTTAAGTGAAATAAGCCAGTCAGAGAAAGATGAACTCTGTATGACTCCACTCATAGGTGGAAGTTAGTATATTGACAAGGAGATCTGATCGGTGGTTACCAGGGAAAAGGGGGGGTGGGGGGAGGGCACAAAGGGGGAAGTGGTGTACCCACAACATGACTAACAAAAATGTACAACTGAAATCTCACAAGGTTGTAATCTATCATAACATTAATAAAAAAAATAAAAAAATAAAAAAAAAATGGACCAAATATATGAACTAGCTATTCACAAGAGAAGAAATCTGAATAGCTAACAAATATAAACAGATGTTCAAGAAAAATGTAAATAAGGATGAGAAATAACTTTAAACTCACCAGACGGGCAAAAAATAAGACAAGTGGATAATAGAGAGTGCTGACAAGAACATCAGAATACAAGAACCCACAGGCACTAACGGTAGCACCGACAAACCAGTGCTCCTGTCCTAGAGCCCACTGGAGTGCCTCCCTCCGCAACTAGGCAACTCCACTCCGCCATGTGCACCCAGGACACCCTGACAGCACCCAAAGGATATGTATGAGGGTGTGTGACGCACACAGTCCTATCCGCGACAAAGGGAATCCAAGCAGCTATCGCATGGTGAACAGAGAAGCAGAATACAGTAAACCACATGTGCCCAACTAGGAGGTGGATCCAGACACAGAGAGAGACAGCACAAAAGAGATGATCTGTAAAAGCAGGGCATTCACTTTAAAGACTTCTAAGGCAGAAATATCATTTTAACATGTTAAAATCACACCTATACACAAAAGAACACATTATCTTTCAAGGATATATACACACACCCACACAAATATTCAACACATGAGAAGAGATCCTATGAGGGAAAGGAGAATGGAAGTGATGGGAGTGAGGTGAATGACAGCGGAAGAAATGAGAAGAAACAATCATGGGTCCTGCAGAGACCAAAGACAAGTGTGCCACAAACTAAGAGCGCAATCAACTCCACACTTGAGGTAAAAAAGGGTTGTTTTTATCTGAACAAAACATAATCTTGCTTTCAAACACACACACACGTGAGCCAAGTATTCACAGAGAGCCGACAGGAGGGCATACCTGTGCAGTACGACACGCCTTTGCAGGTGGCGTTAATGGCCTCCTGGCACTTCTTCTGGGCAGTCTCGAACTGACAGTTTTTACAGCAAGGACTGTTCCTGTCACTGAAGAAGAGCAGACAGGGACAGTTCAAGTCAAACGACAGCCCACAGCAAACAGTATAGTCACATAACAGGGCCCTGAAGCTGCAAGGGAAGGTCTCCCGGCCGGCCGCCACTCCTCATAACCAGACTTCCCAGGTGCTAGGGCCACCTGCGTGCTCTCCATGTGCCCTTCCTAACGTGCAGTCAGGCAGCAGCAGTGCAGAGAGCAAGCAGAGCGGTCCAACAGACTGGGCTTTAAAACATCTTCATGTCCTTGGTTTACATTAATTGAACACAGTAATTAAAAAAAAAAAAAGACACAGGCCTGTAAGGCAATCAACGGATAGGACACTAGGCAGCCGGAGCCCATTCCCTATCAGTATTTACGATACTAGTATGCACGGTATCCGGTTAAATCCGCTGTTCACCGTAAACTAGCTCTCCCCTCTACTTCCAAGCCAGGCACTGGTCTATCCATGGACATGAAAATGCAAATATAGGCACCTTCTAATCTGTACGCTGCCTCCTCCACATTTAGTTTATGTCATTAAACAGTATTCTACAAACTATGCTATTGCATGGATACACAACAATTCATTTATATCCCAGGACGGTCATTTTGATTACTTCCAATATTTCGTTATTATAAAAGAACATAGCCATAGACAGCCTGTTAAATCATATTTTGTACATCTCTGTTTCCTCAGGAAAGATTCTTTGAACTGTGACATCACTGTATCAAAGAATACGCAAGATTTAGGATTTTGTTACATAATGTCAAACTGCTTTCCAGAAAACTTTTTTCTTGCTACAAAGGGCAAAATGGAAGACGCAAAACACACACACGACGTGCGCACACACACCCTCTAATTGATTCTAAAGCCCCTGCGTCTCCAATGTGCTGTCACCTGGAGCCCTTGTTGGCGTCTCTCACCTGCACTGCACGCCCGGCTTCAACGTGCAGTCGCTGTTGCAACAGGTGTCGTTGTTCAGGTACATGATGCCAGGGTCGCACTCCTCTCCTTCGTCTACTCGGGAGTTCCCACACACCTTGTTGCTGCGTTCTTGAAAACACTCCTGGGCCTTACTTTCAATGGTCTTATAGATGGACTGCTTACTGCAGTTTGAAAACATCTTAGGAGAAAAAAGGCCACAGAGGGACCAAAATAACGTAGAAATTCATTCCCATGTCGTGTTTCTGTTGCTTCTCTAGGGACAAACTCTTAATGTGAAAGCCACAGTCTTGTGGGACCAAGCCCTTAACCTGTGGGACCCGAAGCTATCTCTGGCAAGAGAGTGTCAGAATTGAGTTAACCTGTAGGACAGCCAGCTGGTGTCGCAGAGAATCGCTTGGTATGGAGAAAAACCTCCACACGTTTGGTGACCAGCAGCGTCAGAAGTGAAGTGTGCTGTGTGAATTGTAAAGGAGACACAGAGACAGACACAGTAGCGAGAACGAGGTTTCCCCCACAGAAGAAGGAAAAACTGGGTAGTTTTCGTTACCACCCTCCAAAGGTGCTGGGAGCACTGAACCAGACATCAAGAGGATGACTTTCAGAATGATATCAAAGACCTCATCAACCCAAACAGAGATACTAACTGAACTTTTAAAAAAGGATCTCCCATTGTATTTTTATAGTAAAGATGTTTAAGGGGCCTGGTTATTTTTAGTCTAGGCCTCAGGCAGTGTTTTGCTGGATTTATTCACTAGCATTAGAGACTCATGAACTCAATTTTGTCGGTTCATTCTGGAGATCAGGTGCTAAAGAATTCAACTCACACTGAACCGCTAAGACAACCTCTTCATTAAGTTAGTAGTCACACCCCCAGCAGCTGGACCCCCGACGAGGGCTAAGGGAACGTGACCCCGTGACTTCTCGGTTTCGTGCCTCTGCACTCCCTGAAGACCCCTGCCTTCTCTGCGCACCCCCACCACACCCACCTCTCCCCGCCAATCCGCCTTTCTAAGAGCTCACAATCTCCAAAGCAGTCTGCTCACAGCAAGGCCCGGGCCATGTCACTTCTGGCAGCTTATCTGGTGGAAGGTGCCAGGCCCTGTCTTTACAGGTCAAGGAACCAGCTTATTTTTGTCCTGCAGACCTTTTTATCTAGTTAAAAACGTTTTTATTAAGGAATTCATTTAAAATGTAGATTAGAAGATGTCCACTATCTTTTGACAAGGGAACTGCTACTTGAGTAAACCAAACTATGAGAAACCACACTAAATACCATGTGCTCAGGACAAAATAAATAGATGGATAAACTGCTCTTCAGTGACAGACTAGGAGCTCCAGAAAGACATGGCTCTGGCCAGGCTCCATTCTCATTAGCAAGTTCGCACATCAGGAAAATTTCACTGGGGAGAACTTGTAAGCTGAAGAGTGTGCAGGGTAAACAGTTCCCCCGAAGTACTGCCACCAAGCTCATAACCCAGAACAAGTGGCTCCCAACTAGAGCGGCACCGTCCGATGTGGCAGCCACTAGCCCTAGGCGGCTGTTTAAATTTCTTTTTCCTCGCCACATTTCACAACTTTTTATTACAGAAATGGTCACACACCTATGAAGCACACAGAATGGTACTGGAAATGCCCACAGGCCCCTGACCAGCTTCAACTGAGGGCTTCAGGGCTCATCTATATCCTCATCACTCTCCCTCTGCTCCCACAGTCTTTTTGGTGGTGTTTTTTTTGTTTGTTTTTATTAAGGTTATGAAAGTTAACATCCTTGTGAAATTACAGTTGTGCATCATTATTAGTCATGTTGTAGGTACACCACTTCACCCTAGTGCCCTCCCCCCATCCCCCTTTCCCCTGGCAACCACCGATCAGTTCTCTTTGTCCATGTTAACTACCACCTATGAGTGGAGTCATACAGAGTTCGTCTTTCTCTGTCTGGCTTATTTCACTCAACATAATACCCTCAAGGTCTATCCATGTTGTTGTGAATGCGACAACTTTGTCCTTTTTCACGGCTGAGTACTATTCCATTGTGTATATATATATATATATATATATATATATATATATATATATATATACCACATCTTCTTTATCCAATCATCAGTTGCTGGGCACTTAGGTTGGTTCCGTGACGTGGCTATTGTGAATAATGCTGCGATGAACATAGGGGTGCATGGGACTTTTAGAATTGCTGATTTCAGGTTCTTATGATAGATACCCAGCAGTGGGATGGCTGGGTCATAAGGTATTTCTATTCTTAACTTTTTGAGGAATCTCCACACTGTTTTCCATAGTGGCTGCACCAGTTTGCATTCCCACCAACAGTGTATGAGGGTTCCCTTTTCTCCACAGCCTCTCCAACATTTGTCACTCTTGGTTTTGGATATTTTTGCCATTCTAACAGGTGTAAGGTGATATCTTAGTGTAGTTTTGATTTGCATTTCCCTGATGAGTAGTGATGATGAGCATCTTTTCATGTGTCTATTGGCCATCCGTATATCTTCTTTGGAGAAATGTCTGTTCATGTCCCCTGCCCATTTTGTAACTGGGTTGTTTGATTTTTTATTTTTGAGTTGTGTGAGTTCTTCCTATATTATGGAGATTAACCCTTTGTCGGATAAATAACTTGTGAATATTTTTTCCCATTTAGTGGGCTGTTTTTTTGTTTCAATCCTGTTTTCCCTTGCCTTGAAGAAGCTCTTTAGTCTGAAGAAGTCCCATTTGTTTATTCTTTCTATTGTTTCCCTCATGTGAGGGGTTATGGTGTCCGAAAAGATTCTTTAGAAGCTGATGTCAAAGAGTGTACTGCCGATATTCTCTTCTAGAAGACTTATTGTTTCAGGCCTAATCTTTAGGTCTTTGATCCATTTTGAGTTTATTTTAGTGAATGGTGAAAAAGAATGGTTGATTTTCATTCTTTTACATGTGGCTGTCCAGTTTTCCCAGCACCATTTGTTGAAGAGACTTTCTTTCCTCCATTGTAGGCCCTCAGCTCCTTTGTCAAAGATTAGCCGTCCATAGATGTGTGGTTTTATTTCTGGGCTTTCAATTCTGTTCCATTGATCTGTGCATCTGTTTTTGTACCAGTACCATGCTGTTTTGATTACTGTAGCTTTGTAGTATGTTTTGAAGTCAGGGATTGTGATGCCTCCAGCTTTGTTCTTCTTTCGCAGGATTGCTTTAGCAATTTGGGGTCTTTTGCTGCCCCATATGAATTTTAGGATTCTTTGTTCAATTTCTGTAAAGAATGACATTGGAATTCTGATTGGGATAGCGTTGAATCTGTAGATTGCTTTAGGTAGTATGGACATTTTAACTATGTTTATTCTTCCAATCCATGTGCATGGAATGTCTTTCCATCTCTTTATGTTGTTGTCGATTTCTTTCAAGAAGGTCTTGTAGTTTTCGTTGCATAGATCTTTCACTTCCTTGGTTAAATTTATCCCAAGGTATTTTATTCTTTTTGTTGCAATCGTGAATGGGATTGAGTTCTTGAGATCTTTTTCTGAAAGTTCATTGTTAGCATATAGAAATGCTACTAATTTATGTATGTTGATTTTATACCCTGCAACTTTGCTGTAGTTGTTGATTGTTTCTAATAGTTTTTCCATGGATTCTTTGGGGTTTTCTATATATAAGATCATGTCGTCTGCAAACAGCGAGAGTTTTACTTCTTCGTTGCCTATTTGGATTCCTTTTATTTCTTTTTCCTGCCGAATTGCTCTGGCCAAAATCTCCAGTACTATGTTGAATAAGAGTGGTGAAAGTGGGCACCCTTGTCTTGTTCCTGTTCTGAGAGGAATGGGTTTCAGTTTTTGTCCGCTGAGTAGGATGTTGGCTGTGGGTTTGTCATATAGGGCCTTTATTATGTTGAGGTACTTTCCTTCTATACCTATTTTATTGAGGGTTTTTATCATAAACGGATGTTGGATTTGTCGAATGCTTTCTCTGCATCTATTGAGATTATCATGTGGTTTTTGTTTCTCATTTTGTTAATGTAGTGAAACGTTGATTGAGTTGTGGATGTTGAACCGTCCCTGTGTCCCTGGTATAAATCCCACTTGATCATGGTGTATGATCTTTTTGATGTATTGCTGTATTCGATTTGCCAAAATTTTGTTGAGGATTTTTGCATCTATGTTCATCAGTGATATTGGCCTGTAGTTTTCCTTCTTTGTGTTGTCCTTGTCAGGTTTGGGGATCAGGGTGATGTTGGCTTCATAGAATGTATTAGGGAGTGCTCCATCTTCCTCTATTTTCTGGAACAGTTTGAGAAGGATAGGTATTAAATCTTCTTTGAATGTTTGGTAGAATTTTCCGGAGAAGCCGTCTGGTCCTGGACTCTTATTTTTGGGGAGGTTTTTGATTACTGCTTCTATTTCTTTACTTGTGATTGGCCTATTCAGATTCTCTATTTCTTCCTGATTCAGTTTGGGGAGCTTGTATGAGGTCTAGGAATTTATCCATTTCTTCTAGGCTGTTCAATTTGTTGGCATATAGTTTTTCATAGTATTCTCTTATGATCCTTCATATTTCTTCGGTATCTGTTGTGATTTCTCCTCTCTCGTTTCTAATTTTATTTATTTGAGACTTCTCTCTTTTTTTTTTTTTAGAGAGTCTGGCTAAGGGTTTGTCGATTTTGTTAATTTTTTCGAAGAACCCACTCTTTGTTTCATTGATCCTTTCTACTGTCTTTTTGTTTCAATATCATTTATTTCTGCTCTAATTTTTATTATTTCCCTCCTTCTACTGACTTTGGGCTTTGTTTGTTCTTCTTTTTCTAATTCCATTAGGTGTCGTTTGAGGTTGTTTATGTAAGATTTTTCTTGCTTATTGAGGTGAGCCTGTATTGCAATGAATTTCCCTCTTAGGACTGCCTTTGTTGCATCCCAAATCATTTGGTATGGTGTATTTTCATTTTCATTTGTCTCCAGATAATGTTTGATTTCTTCTTTAATTTCTTCAATAATCCATTGTTTGTTCAGTAGCATGTTGTTTAGTCTCCACATTTTTGGCCCTTTCCCAGCTTTATTCTTGCAGTTGATTTCTAGTTTCATAGCATTATGATCAGAAAAGATGCTTGATATTATTTCAACCCTCTTGAACTTACTGATGCTTGCTTTGTTCCCCAAGTATGGTGTATCCTTGAGAATGTTCCACGCGCGCTTGAGAAGAATGTGTAACCTGCTGTTTTTGGATGAAGTGTCCTATATATATCTATTAGGTCCATCTGATCTAATTTTTCATTTAACTCTATAATTTCCTTGTTGATTTTCTGTCTGGATGATCTGTCCATTGGTGTTAATGGAGTGTTGAGGTCCCCTACTATTATTGTATTGCTGTTGATGTCTCCTTTTAGTTTTGTTAATAGTTTCTTTATGAATTTTGGTGCTCCTGTGTTAGGTGCGTATATATTTATAAGCGTTATGTCATCTTGCTGGAGCGTCCCTTTTATCATTATATGCTGCCCCTCTTTGTCTTTCTTTATCTGTTTTGCTTTGAAGTCTACTTTGTCTGATATAAGTATGGCAACACCTGCTTTCTTCTGTTCATTATTAGCTTGGAGTGTTGTCTTCCATCCCTTCACTTTGAGTCTGTGTTTCTTTGGGGCTGAGGTGTGTTTCCTGGAGGCAGCATATTGTTGGATCTTGTTCTTTGATCCATCCTGCCACTCTGTGCCTTTTGATTGGAGAGTTCAATCCATTCACGTTTAGAGTGATTACTGAAACTTGGGGGCCTACTGTTGCCATTTTATCACTTGTTTTCTGGTTCTTTTGCATTTTGCCCTGATGGACAGCTGTTACTTTGTGTTATTGTCCTTCTGCTTATCTCCTTTGTTCTGGTTTTTGTAGCCCCTTTCCTTTTTTTGATTTTTCAGGAATGAGGTTCTTCCTGAGCATTTCTTGAAGAGGAGGTTTTGTGGCAATGAACTCCCTTAACTTTTGTTTATCTGGCAAAGTTTTTATTTCTCCATCATATTTGAAGGATATTTTCGCTGGGTAGAGTACTCTTGGCTGCATGTTTTTGTCCTTCAGAGTTTTGAATGTTTCATTCCAATCTCTTCTAGCCTGAAAGGTCTCTCCTGAGAAATCTGCTGCTGGCCTTATGGGGTTTCCTTTGTAAGTTATTTTCTTCTGCCTGGCTGCCCTTAGTATTTTCTCTTTGTCGTTGACTTTTGCTAGTTTCACAACTATATGCCTATAAGACCAAGAAGTTGGTCTTCTTGCATTAATAAAGTTTGGAGATCTATTGGCTTCTGTCACATGAAGTTCCATCTCTCTCCCCAAGTTTGGAACGTTCTCAGCTATTATTTCTTTGAACAGGCCTTCTGCCCCCTTCTTCTTCTCTTCTCCCTCTGGTATACCTATAATCCTTATGTTGCATCTCCTAATTGAGTCGGATAATTCTCGGAGAGTTTCTTCATTTCTTTTTAGTCTTAGTTCTCTCCCCTCCTCTGCAGCATTTCTATATTCCTATCCTCCAAATTGTTAATTCTCTCCTCCATATTATCGACCCTACTGTTCAGACAGTCCAGATTTTTCTTAATCTCCTCCATTGTGTTCTTCATCTCTATAGTGTCAAGCTCCTTTGTGACATAGCTCCTGAACTCATTGAGTTGTCTATCTGAATTCTAATTTAACTCATTGAGTTTTTTAATAATGGCAGTTTTGAAATCATCGTCATTTAGGTTATAGATTTCATTGTCTTTGGGATTGTTTTCTGGGTGCTTATCATTTTCCTTTTGTTCTGGATATTTAATATATTTTTTCATACTGCTTAATGGCGTGGATTTGTGCCTCTGCATAGAGATAGAGTTTAGTCGCTGCTTCCACTTGTTGCGACTGGTGTGTGTGTGTGGGGGGGGCAGCTGTTTAGACTGCACCAGCCAGGAACCCTGTCAGTTGTTAGTGGCTGGACCTGGACCCCTCCTCGTAGTCACAGTGGTCCTGTGGGGTCCCTCGTCGGTTGTGGGGGCAATCGCAAGGGGGCCTCAGGCTGCTGGTGCCTACTGTTGCAGCCCACTTAGATGCACTCCCTCCTTGTGGTCTGCAGCAGTGTTGTGGGCTTTTTTTTTTTTTTTTTTTAAGAATCCTGCTTAACACATTTCCTTGTTGAATCTAGTCTTGAAGGTTACAGCCAGGCCTGCCACAGGGCCCCCTGATGTTGGATGTTACAGAGGATTCTCTCATAGTTTCTTCTTTTACTTAGATAATGTGCATGCATATCCTCTCCAGCCGTCTGGCCCTGGAAGCCCCGCCCCATGGTGGTGTTCGTTTTTTAACAGCTTTATTAAGGCATATTTTGCAAATCACAAAATTCATCCATTTCAAGCATACAATTCAGTGATTTCTAGTAACGTTTCCAAGTGGTGAAACTGTCACCATAAGTCAGTTTTAGAACATTTTCATCCCCCTAATAAGGTCTGTCACGTCCTTTTACAGTTAATGCCCTTTCCCACCTCCAGTCCCAGGCAACCACTATTGAATTTAAACAAAATAGAGTTTAAAATTCAGTCCCTCAGTCTCTTCAGCCGTGTTTCAAGTGCTCAATGGCCATATGTGGCTAGTGACTACTGTATTGGCTAGAGCAGATACAGAACATTTCCGTCACGAGAGGACCCTCTACTGAACAGTGCTGAACTATAATGCACATGATTAAGAAACGCAGAGACAACTTTGAAAAAAAGGAAGCAAATTCAAAAGGGTGTGTGAACAGCTGGAATAATAAGCAAAAGTGGGTGGGAAAGCTCCTCAGGCCCAAGTTATCAAGCAGAGGAAAAGCCCAACGCGACACACAAAGAGAGAGAGGAAGGGACTGTTTACAGCCAAAGAAAACAAGACGCAACAACCCAAAAAGATGACAAAAAGAACATGAGAGAGAAATTTTTAAAGAGCAGGGTCAGGGAAACACAAAAGTAATCATGTTTCCTTCTGGCCCCTGGTCAGGCTTGAAAGTGCCACGGCCAGGGTCAAAGGAAGGGCCAGCACAGGCACTTCACCGTCTTTCCTGGTGAGAGGCAGACTCTCTGAGCCCCTCCCCCAGCCCTCTTTAACTCAGCAACAGAATCCATGTTCCTCCTCACGTTGCCTTCTGCTGCTTAACTTAAGTGAGATTAAAGGACCAGACATCTATGAACACTTTTAGTTCAGACTCTAAGAGTTAGTCAGAGCCACTTACAGTCTCTGAAATCATTTACAATATCCCAAATCAACTAGTGCACTCTATCAGAAACCCTCAGTAGTAAATAGTTCGTTTATTTACTTGACAGATAGATATTTATTACATGCCAGGGACCCCTACTAGGCACTGGAGACAGAGCCCAGAACTAGAAAGGCAAAGGATCTTCCCACAGGGCCTTACAGTCCAGCAAATAATGTATTTTGTTGCAAAAGTTTACAGAAACATGCAAATCGTGAAGTGCTGTCAAGTTAAAATGAATAACAACTTATACATGAAATGAAAAGAAATTTTTACCTTAAAGCCTGAGCCCACCAGGCCCTGCCATCTGGAACTCTGACACCAGCCATCACTACCACTGATTTTCTGTATAGCCCAAATCTACACATGTCAGCCTCGATAACAAACAGTCCAAATGAGAGCTCTAACCACATTTAGATGGACCACGTTTTACTCCAAAACATGTAACCAAGTTTCAAGGTACTTTGTAATTTGCAGTTCCATCCCAAGAATGAAATGCTTTCTGAGCTCTCATTGCAGTGAAACAGCCTCTTTCTTTCCTAACCACATAAACTCCACAAGACACATACCTTATTGTTCTCATGATCTCCACTCACAGCTATGGGATACATGACGTATTTCCCTCCCTGGTCTTCATTTGGGGCGCATTCTGGTAGACCGTCTGGATCATGTTCTGCTCCAAAATTGTGCCCCAATTCATGAGTTGTCACCAAGTCGGCTTCCTTAAGTACCACACAAAGAAAACATTATTTCCCAATGCCCAACCATCACTGCTGTGGCCAACTGGGCCCTGCTGTCTTAAACAGGGTCCAGATTAATTGGATTAACAACAGAATAACAGATTACAATTTCTTCTATCAATTATAGAAATTAAAGCGAATAAGCAGGATTTTAGTTAATACTATTAAACAGTGTTAGAAGAATGAATTTACATCAATTTAAGAAAATATAATTTACAAGATATACTGAACATTCTTAATGATGCACCAAACACTAGCCATTAAACACTGTTTGGCTCTGATAAACCGAATGGCTAACTACAGTCAATTATCCAAGCCTCCCCACCCCCCTCATCCCAACCACACTCCTGTTAAACATCTAAGCACCTGGGAGCGGGGAGAGAGCAAGGGTGAAAAACAAGACAACTGAGAAACAACAAAACAGTGTTCCTTATCTCAGCGACTGAATTCAAGCCCAATGACAATGCCTAGAGGATTTCATTGATTAGGATCCGGTTAAAGGACTGTACTGAATCTATCAGATCACCAGAAGATTTCTATCCGAATAGAACAATGAATTTAGCTGATAAAGCTAAAATTTTTTTCTCATATTTATCTGCATAAAACAAGAATAACAAATTTGAATTACTGATTTTTTTTCCTGGGGGGAGAGTCACTCCACGGAACCTTAAAAATTTATATTCTGCAAGTCATTGGAATTTTTTTTAAGACAGAGTCCCAGAAGTCAATGCCCTGAAGCTTTCCACACATTTATACTAAAATAATAGTACAGAAAATTTTGATTTTTTGATTTTTTAGCAAAAAGTACTCAAATCCCAAAAGTGTAATATGGAGAATTTCAAATTGTGCTTTGAAAAAATTAGTGGATTCTCTAACAGACCGATGCTGCATTGCAAAAATTTCAAAGCAAATTTACTTTTTGCTCTATGTGTCTTCTAACAGAAAAATTCTGGAAGACGAAGGAAAGTATGTCATGAAATCAAACCACAGAAGACGTTGTGATATCAAAAAGGTAAAGAAGCACCATTAGAAACAATTTTTGTTTGTTTTAAAGACTGGCACCTGAGCTAACAACTGCTGCCAATGCTTTTTTTTTCCTTCTTCTCCCCAAAGGCCCCCAGTACATAGTTGTATATTCTAGCTGTGAGTGCCTCTGCTTGTGCTATGTGGGCCGCCTCAGCATGGCCTGGTGAGCGGTGCCATGTCCGAGCCCGGGATCCCAACAGGCAAAAACCACAGGCGGCCGAAGCAGAGTGCATGAACTTAACCACTCGGCCACGGGGTCGGCCTCAGAAACAATTTTGAAAATTAAAAGTTTTCCAAAAACTGATTAGTATATTTTTCTTCTCTCATCTTTTTTTTAATCAACCAAAGTCCAGAGTTTACATGAGGGTTCACTCTTTGTGTTGTACATTCTACGGGTTTTGACAAATACATGTCTTATATACATCACTAGAGTATCACACAGAACAGTTTCACCGCACTAAAAATTCTGCGTTCGCCTATTCACCCCTCCCTCCACTCCTGACAACCACTGATCTTTTCCTGCCTCCATGGTTTTGCCTTTTTTAGAATGTCACACAGATGGAGTCATGCAGTACGTGCATTCCCACCAACCACATCTGAGAGTTCTTACTGCTCCATATCCTCACTAGCATTTGGTGTTGTCAGCGTTTTGGGTTTTAGCCATTTCAATAGTTGTCTAATGGTATCTCATTGTTTTAATTTGCAATTCACTAATGACATAAAATGTTGAGCACCTTGCCACATGTTTATTTCCCACCTGTAATCTTCCTTGGTGAGGTGTCTATTAAGATCTTTTCCCTATTTGTAAATCAGGTTGTTTTCTTATTGTTGAGTTTTTAGTATATTCCTTGTATATTCTGGATTGGATAGCAGTCCTTTATCAGATACGCCTTTTACAAATATTTGCTACCAGTCTGTGGCCTGTTCCACTTTACAATTTTACAGTCTAGGAAATGCCAATACTCTTAATCTTCAGTATTCGTTTTATCTTTCTCTGTTCTTTTCTTTTGTCTAGTTCTTTCTACAGGGTCGTGACATTTTCATCTTAACTGCTCTTCAGTCTTCACACTCTCGAACCCCCCAGGCCCCGCTGCCCTCCCTCACTGGGCAGGGAGGAGTGGCTTTGTTCTACGGCAGACGTTTCAGGTCTGGGGACAGGAAGGATTTACCTTACAGCAACACAAAAAACTGAACACTCGACGACAGGCACTTCTATAACTAACATTTCAATCTCCCACAAAATTTATTTTTCTATCACTCTCCAAAACTGCTACTCTTCTGCTAATACTTGAATTGATGGCCTTTGTTTAACTTTTTTATTTTTCAGAATACAAATCAATTATGGCAAACTTTCAGTTAAAGAGTATACACTACTTGGGGCTGGCGCCGTGGCCAAGTGGTTAAGTTCCCGCGCTCTGCTGCAGGTGGCCCAGTGTTTCGTTGGTTCGAATCCTGGGCGCGGACATGGCACTGCTCATCAAACCACGCTGAGGCAACGTCCCACATCCCACAACTAGAAGGACCCACAACGAAGACTATACAACTATGTACCGGGGGTCTTTGGGGAGAAAAAGGAAAAAAATAAAATCTTTAAAAAAAAAAGAATATACACTGCATTTGTCTCTACTTTTTCATGAAATCCCACTAAAACAATAATAAAGGAATAAAAAGGACATAATTCAACAAGGACAGAACAGCAGAGGGGACAACAGCAGACAACAGATGCCAACAAAACTTTGGAAGGTAAAAAAAGTACGGAAGAGAAAATAAAATACTGCAATCATGAAAGAACAGGAAGCTATAAAAAGGAAATAGAAAAAAAAGGGCTACTGAAAACAAAAAATGTTCACAGGAATAACAAATTCAAAGGAACAGCTGAAGATAAAGTTAAGGACATCTCCTAGAAAATAGAAGACAAAGGAAAACACGAGAAAATATTAAGAAAAATCAGACTATCATGGTAGGAGATCAAGTATATGATTTAATGTCATTCCAGATAGAATACAAAAAAACAGAGGATAACAATTTATGAAAGAAATAAGAAAATTTTCCATAATTTACAAACATGAATCTCCAGATTGAAGGGCCCACCTGCCCAACACAAGAGAATAAAAATATCTACACCAAGTATAAAACCATGGTCTAACTGCAGTGTATCACATGCTAGTATTTCCTACCACTATCCACTCTCCGTTCTTCCTTACTTAAAGAATCAAAATTCTGCTCAGGCAGCAATGTACTGAGCTAAAATAGCCACCTGGGCAGTCATGTGACCCAGTTCCACCCACTGAGATATAAACAGAAGCCAGTGGGTAGAGCTGCCAGATAAGCTTTTTAAAAGGAACAGTGTAGGCTAGCTATGGTCTCTCTGTCCTCCCTTCTGCAACACAGAAGAAAACCATCGTGTGATCACGAGGTGACGAGCATGACAAACACCTCGTGTTTAGAATGGCTGAGTGAGAGTTGGGAAGATGCTGGACCCCTGAGAGCATCACTGAACTGCTGTAGCAGCCTTAGAATGCTATCCTTGAAACTTCTTGTTGACTGAGGCAAATACACCCCTGATTTAAGCAAGTGTTAAGTGGTTTTTCTGTTATGTGGATTTTCTGGAATGTGCCGAACACATTCCTAACGGATATATCTTGGCAAAAACAAAATCCTAAAATCTCCCAGAGGAAAAACTAGGTCATATACAAAGAATAAAAAATTGGAATGACTTCAGACTCTTTAATAGTAACACAAAACACTACAAGACAAGGGAGCAATACCTTCAAATGCTAAGAGAACTGAGAACACACCCAGCTAAATTAGCAATCAAGTTTAAGAGTAGGGGAAAGACATTTGCAGATACGCCAAAAATCTCAAGAATTTGCCTGTTGTGCACCCTTTCTTTGGAAGCTCCTGGAGGAAATGCTACACCAAAATGACGTAAAAATCAAGAAAGAGGAAGAACATGGGCTCCAGAAAATGACAGAGTTTGGGGATGTCTTCAAATGACAGCTACGCTGCAGGACTAGGAAACAAGTAATCCACAGAGAAGCTGCAGGATTAATGTCTTCAGGAAAAACAATGATCCTGACAGGTGTCAAAAGTGTGACAGGTAACTTTTATTTTCTTCTTTAGACTTTTTATTTTCATATTTTCCACGAAAAAACATTTTTTTTAGGCAGAAACAAAAAAATAGCACGTATTACTTTTTTAAAAAGATACCTACATATATATATAACAGCTGAGATTCTAATACAATAAACTCAAAATCTATCCTTTTAAAAAATAAAAGAACATACCTTTGTAAGGATGGTTTTACCATAATTTTTTGTGCTGGTCAAACCACTATTCAAATAAATATTTTTCTTTCCAATTGGACTATAATAAGCTAAAGGAAAAAGGAAGCAGAGACAAATTGCTTGTTCAATACAGAATTATAGTATAACCCATCAGCTTGCTATTCCCACATATTCACACAACAGATGGAAAACTTACCCTTTGGACAAACACCTCCATGACTGTTTGCTCTGGGAGAACCAACATAAGCTAATCCAAGAGTTCCCATATCGAAATCTTGATAGGTGAAAAGATGTGCTAGGCAGACTTTAGAAGCTTCTTCAGCTATATCAAAGCTAAATTGCTTTAAAAAAAAAAAAAGTATTCTTAATCAGATTGACAACTACATCAGACTAAGAGACATTTCAACCAAATATTCCAGACAGTACCATATGACTGACTGCAGCTCTGCAGCAGCAACCACAAAACCGTGCAGCGCAATGCTCCTTATCTACGGTGCTCACTCGCCTACACAGGTGAGCAGCAGACTGTCGTCTGGTGAGGAGGCGGGGTGGGCACAAAACGAAAGAGCTTGGGAGCTTTTCATAGCAGCTCAGAACTCAGAGGGGTGCTGTGAGGACACGCAGCCCAGCACTGGGGTCACTCCAATCCTGAAGGCTCAGGGTTCTGAAGCCTCTCGCAGTGCATCTCAGCCCCTCAGACCAAAACGGGTCCCTCTAAAGCATTCCAAAGACTCCATTGGTTTTGTAGGCTTTTTAAGTTTGTTTTGTTTTTACAATATATAGGAGTTATAAATATAAACTTACAGGAAAGCATACATACTTAGTTTTATGTTACTAAAACTAAGATAAAAATCCATTTAGGCCAGCGTTGGTGCTTTGGGAGGATTTCTTTTTTCTTAAAAGGGCTCCACATGTTACTTTAAAAATCTCTACCTTAATAGACCATAGATTCCAACTTAAAAAGACTTTGGTTTTTAAAATGCTTAAAATGAGTCAGAAAGCCAGGTATGAGGAATGAGGTGTTCCCAGGAGGTGCCTCCCCGGCCACACTGGGATTTTCATAGTTCTGCAGTGACATGGTGAGGCTTCGGGGACTCTGCTAGGAACCTTAGAGAAGAGAACTGGGGAGGAGCATCTGTAGGGTCAAGCTGTCCCTCTTGTTCTTCCCCTGATGTGGGCTATCTGGAGGCCCGGAGAAAAGCAGAGCGGGACGATCCTTCAGCTGTCCTGGGAGTCAGCAGATCTGGCCACTTGAATCTGGCTCTGTTGTTACTAGTTGTATAACTAACCGTGGACAAGTCATTTAACCTTGTTGTTATGGGCTGAATTGTGTCCCTTCAAAATTCATGTGTTGAAGTCCTAACCCCCAGTACCGCAGAAAGTGACTGTATTTGGAGAAGGGGCCTTTTAAGTAGTAATTAAGGTAAAAGGAGATCATACGGGTGGGGCCTAATCCAACATGACTGTGCCCTTAATCAGAGGAGCTTGGGACACAGACAGAGGGAAGACCATGTGAAGACACCGGGAGAAGACGGCCATCTATAAGCCAAGGAGAGAGGCCTCAGGAGAAACCAACCCTGTCAATAGCTTGATCTGAGACTTCCAGCTTCCTGAAGGTGAGACAAACTTCTGTTGTTTAAGCCCCCTAGTCTATGGTCCTTTGTCATGGCAGCCCTATTAGACTAATACACTTGCTAAGTCTCTTTAGAAGAGTCACGGTGCCTCTCAACCTACCTCTCAGGGTAGCTAGGGGATCAGATCAGATAAGGGATGTGAGAGCACTATACAGACACAGCACTCTATGGATCTCACCCTTGAGCAAGAGTTGTTAATATCCTGTCATTCCATTCAAGCTCTGCAAACGTGATTTTGGCCTAGGGAGACTCTAACCAGAGAAACCAGGTAAGCCATGCTGTGCCCTGACTAACCTAAGGAAACTATCTGATAAAGAAAAGTTGTCTTTTAAGCTGCTAAATTCGTGGTAATTTGTTGGAGCAGCCATAGGAAACTAATACATTACTAACATAGTAAAAGATAAATACTATCACTTCATAGGTGATTTTACAACAAAACAATAGTACACACAAACTCAGACCCTGAAATCATGTGGCAAACAGGAGAAATCATACCCTGTCAAGGCAAGAATACATATGGCATAGAATGTTCAGGTTCATTACCAGAACAGAAACAAAAATTTAAATCTTCCTGTAGAGAACTTTCAGATGTGCAAGTCATATTTCTAGCATTTAATACATTTTCATACCATTTGATAATTACTGACCTAAAAGATCCATTGATAAGTTTCAAAGAGACTTGAACTAACAAAATGGTGTGCAAAAAATTTATATATTGGGTATCCATCATTTTCTGAAGCCCCATTACTTCACTCGATCCTCCAGGATGCTAAGGGTAAGAAGCGCTGTCGCTTAGCATTCTCCATCCTCACGGTTTGCCCACCTTGCTGTTTGCCCTGCTACAAGGGATGAAGTCACTGCAGGGGCAGCTGCAGTGGGCTGCTCCTGGTTTTCAATTACCTTTTCTAATATGCCCCCTCCTCAATGCAGCACATCCCACAAGTCAGAAATCACAAAGTGGTGTTAACCACATTTCATCCAGGATTCCACAACCCACCTCTAGCAACATCTTCACATCCCAAGCATCCTTTTCTTCATTTGGATAACTTTTTGCCATATTGTAGTGCCTTTCACCAGGTTTTACCTCTTGTGGAGACTTGAGAATGCGAATCTATACTTAAAGAGATAATATACTTAGAACACTTCAGAAAAAAGTCACAAGACTCTGAAATAATACTGCATAAGTTTAGCTATTCAAAAAAAAAGACAATCTAGGGGCCAGCCTGGGGGTGTAGTGGTTAAGTTTGCGTACTTGGCTTCGGCAGCCTGGGGTTCAAAGGTTTGGATCCCAGGCGCAGACCCATACTCTGCTCATCAAGCCATGCTGTGGTGGTGTCCCACATACAAAATAAAGGAAGACTGCCACAGATGTTGGCTCAGTGACAATCTTCCTCAAGCAAAAAGAGGAAGATTAGGGGCCAGCCCAGTGGTGTAGCAGTTAAGTTCACATGCTGCACTTTGGCAGCCTGGGGTTCGCCAGTTTGGATCCCAGGCACAGATCTACATATGGCTTATCAAGCCATGCTGTGGCAGGTGTCCCACATATAAAGTAGAAGAAGATGGGCACAGATGTTAGCTCAGGGCCAATCTTCCTCAGCAAAAAGAGGAGGATTGGCAGCAGATTTTAGCTCAGGGCTAATCTTCCTAACAAAAAAAAAAAAGAAGATTGGCAACAGATGTTAAGCTCAGGGCCAATCTTTCTCATAAAAAAAAAAAAGACCATCTACCATTCTAGAAAAAATGTTTCAGAACCAAAATTCCACAAAATGCTTCAGCTCTAATATACAGTATTTAAAAACAACCTGAGAAGCATATGGTACGGAAAACATGTATGTCAATGAATGATTTGTAAATCTATAACTGTATTCCTAAATTTTCATTTCCTCTATATTTAGTTGGAAAAAACAAGAACTTGGGTTCCATGAGCCTATATTTATTCCAACTACAGTCAATGATTCACAGATACAGAACAAATAAGATGTACATCACCACACGCCACAGGCACAAAAGAATATAAAAAATAGCGGCTTTTCCTTGTACATATAGCACAAACTCATATTAATCCTGATTTTAACAAAAAGGAACAAAGGCTTCTCTCCAAAGGAGACAAAACCTACAGATTGGCAAGTTCAGGAAACAGAACAAAGCCATGCTCAGCTCGTCATTTCTGGCATCCCTTCTGGATCTGCCTGCCTGCAGAGGGTATATTCTGGTCTGCTCTGCCACCACGTGGTATGCTCACTGGGGCAGGCTGTGCAGCTTTGGTGGAGGGTGGTAAAGATCAATTCTGGGATGAAACAGGTGGATGCCCTCAGTGACTATATATCTAAACCACACCCTCCAATCCATTTGCCACCTTTAAAGAAGCTGGTATTTTTATCTCCTATCTCATACTTATTTTTTCAATTGGTTCCAAGTTCCTAAGGCAAAAAAAGAGCTTTATTTCTGGTCTCCTAAAATTCAAATATAATGGAGTTATTTTAAACAACTCAGGCACCCTATCAGTACCATAATGGACTAATCACCAACATATTCATGAAATGAAAAAGCAAGGTGCAAAAGGATATAGCATACCACCAATGTGTCAAACACACATATACATACACATGCTATCCATGCATAAAATATCTCTGCAAAACTACATATGAACTAGTAAATGGATGTCTCTGGGGAAAGGAAGTGGTCTGACAATGGGTAGAGGCCGAGGAGACTTACTTTTCACTGGCTTTTGTACCATGTGTATGTATTACCTATTCAAATAATAACTTAAAAAAGAAAATTCAAAACAGTAAAAGAGAATGAAAAAAGGAAAAATAATTCTCTTAGTTTTATACAAGTACCATAAAAGTTTAACATTTATAAGTATGATGTATGATTTTAAAAGTCTTTTTTTTTAAGTCTCTAAATTCTATACTACAGAACCTCTAAGAATATGGTTAATTTAGTAAAAAGAGCCTGGAAGAAATAAAGACAATGATTTCCACAATTTACATATCAAAATGTCTGTCCAAAGCAATACCCAATCTCAGAACAGTCTTCTTTAATTAGTCTCATCAATTTGGAACGATGTTTACTATGTAATATAATTAAGATGCATTAACACATCATTACTGGTCATCTCTATTAACAGATTATGAGAAATCAGGAGATTTTTAGGAAAAGAGATCTAATGGCTCTGAGGGTTTGCCTTGCAAATGTACACAGTATTTTTGAGTAAATTTTCTGACTAAGGATTCAACAATACGTGCCAGGATACTGATTAAAAACATAAAGCACAGCAAGGGGATAACAGGACATGAATTCAGGGAAAGGAGAGATCATAGCAGCATAAAAAAGGCTTTCTGCCTAAAACAAGCCTAAGAACAGACACTTCACAATATGTAATTAATACCAAAAACACTGTACAATTTATTAGATAAAAATTACTGGCATTTGAGAATATTTATGATTAAAGCTGAAGATAAGTTTTTGGGTTTTGAATCCAAGTGACAAATATTTACAACAAATAATTTAGCTGAGTTAAATAAGCCACATCCGTTGATAAATACCTGCTCTATCTGTATTCCATAACCTTTAAAACCTGCATTGTCCCATGAAGTGTTCCGATAGATGTCATCAACTCTGTCAATTAGCTCTATCTGCACGGATAAAAGAAAGAGAGTGAGAGAAAGATACTATGTATATCTTCTTTACCACTCTTTGCAACGTAGTATAAATTCTGCAAGGATAAAAAAAGTCACAAAATGCCACTGTACAAGTTTCTATCAATTACAAAAACTAGCATTAAGATGTTACCATTTATCATTGATAGCTCTAACAAAGAAATTATTCCTAGCCTCAAACAAAGTGTTGTTACCAGAATAAAACAGCGGTACAGTTAATCCCAAATTTCAGGTAATCAATTATACATGGAACCAAAATATCAAGCAACAGGCTTTTTTAAAACTGCCATTTCAGTCAACTACAGAAAAGAAAGTTAAAGGTCAATCAATTTACCTAAAATATTCCCTTCTAAGAAGTACTCTGTCCTCAATCTGTCTCTTGGCAAGTACCTCAACTGTCTTCCTCAGAGAGAGGAAAGGAGCAGCAACAGACACTGCTGACGCTGTTCCCCACCCTCACTGGGCAGAGTCCAGCCCCGAGGACTGGGTAAAGAGAGCCAGAGCAATGGGGTTTCACCATCGCTCCTTTCTTCCGTCCTCTGACCTGGCAAAGGGGGCAGATGGGGAGAGAACACTGGGGAGGAGGGACAGTGTAATAGGCAAGGACGAGTCACACTACATAAGAACACAATGCTCGTTACCCATCTTCTCTTCAAAGAGAATATTTTATCGTTCAAAAACCGGGTAAATGAGGTTTGTTCCGGCAACTGTGAAGTGCACTACAGATCTAAGAAACTGTTCTTTGCTTAGAGTAACACTATTAAGACTAGACCTCTAGAGGCCAGCCCGGTGGGGCGGAGGTTAAGTTCGCAGGTTCCGCTTCAGCAGCCCCGGGGTTTGCTGGTTCAGATCCAGGGTGCAGACCTACGCACTGCTTGTCAAGCCATGCAGTGGCAGGCATGCCACATATAAAGTAGAGGATGATGGACATGGATGTGAGCTCAGGGCCAGTCTTCCTCAGCAAGAAGAGAATGATTGGTGACAGATGTTAGCTCAGGGCTAATCTTCCTCAAAAGAAAAAATAAATAAAAGACTAGAACTCTCATTATATTCATATTTTTGGTGTAATGAACAAAGAAGTAAATTAAGAGCCCCTTAATACAAAACCCATATTAAGAAAGAAGTTTTTTCAAGAAAGACTCTCTCTTACTCAGAAACAAGAACTACAGTGACTTCACACACTACTCCTACTACCCTCATAATAAGTTCTTTCACTCGACATGGAAGGGAGGGGAAAGAAGAGTGAGGGAGGGCACGAATAAAACACAGAGAATGAGAAAAGCAAGGCAAAGAGAAAGATGTCTTTACTGCACCAGGCTCTTGGTTCATGAATAGCTGCATTCTCTTTTATTCCCTCAATAACAACATTTTGGTCAGTGCCAAGTTACCATGACGAATGAGGTCATACTAACAAAAAATGTCAATGAAATATGATTCCCATGACTTTTAAAATTACAATAGTAAATGCTTAAAAATCCAGTGCCAATACCTCTGTAATCTTTCCTTCTAATCTTCACCATATAGATAGCAATGATCACGAAAGTCCTATTTCACGCAGTTATATTCCAACAATTAACTATTTAAATGACAGAAACCAAACTGACCATCTTCTCTGAAATATATATATAAGCAAAAATAATACACACAGTTTCATACAAATACTTTTTTTTCCACTCTGGGGCATACATCCACACATATCAACAACAGGATCACTGCCATTATAGCAGTGACGTTTTCAAAGAGTTCACCTGTATAAAGAAGGGAGGCCTATGTTATGAACTCTCCCTAAACCTAATATGCAAAAAACTTGTAACATGAAGAAAATATTAGTTCAAAGGTAAAATGAGTTTTCAAATATTTGAAACTAAAACCTCTCTACAGTATTGTAAGAAGCTCAGAGGACAGTCCTCAAATATCTTAGTAAATAACAGAGCATCTGAAACAAATCTTGTTTCATTACGTTCCAAATTACAGCAGTCTTCTCTCCAATGGAATTTTGGGCCCAGTTACCTTACGCAGCCATGCACTTACTAGGTAATTCGTGGTTGTGCTCTCTTCCCCTCTGCCCACGTGAATTTTGGGCCCAGTTACCTTATGCAGCCATGCACTTACTAGGTAATTCGTGGTTGTGCTCTCTTCCCCTCTGCCCACGTGAGTTTTGGGTCCAATTACCTTATCCAGTATCGTGTACTTACTAGGTAATTCGTGGTTGTGCTCTCTTCCCCTCTGCCCACGTGAATTTTGGGCCCAGTTACCTTATGCAGCCATGCACTTACTAGGTAATTCGTGGTTGTGCTCTCTTCCCCTCTGCCCACGTGAGTTTTGGGTCCAATTACCTTATCCAGTATCGTGTACTTACTAGGTAATTCGTGGTTGTGCTCTCTTCCCCTCTGCCCACGTGAATTTTGGGCCCAGTTACCTTATGCAGCCATGCACTTACTAGGTAATTCGTGGTTGTGCTCTCTTCCCCTCTGCCCACGTGAGTTTTGGGTCCAATTACCTTATCCAGTATCGTGTACTTACTAGGTAATTCGTGGTTGTGCTCTCTTCCCCTCTGCCCACGTGAATTTTGGGCCCAGTTACCTTATGCAGCCATGCACTTACTAGGTAATTCGTGGTTGTGCTCTCTTCCCCTCTGCCCACGTGAGTTTTGGGTCCAATTACCTTATCCAGTATCGTGTACTTACTAGGTAATTCGTGGTTGTGCTCTCTTCCCCTCTGCCCACGTGAATTTTGGGCCCACTTACCTTACGCAGCCATGCACTTACTAGGTAATTTGTGGTTGTGCTCTCTTCCCCTCTGCCCATGTGTCTGTAAAAGCGATGGTCTGCAACCACCAGTAATTTACACGTGTTCCTCAGGGGGTTGGGGTCTGCTCTCCTCTTCACTCGACGAACAAGCTCTAATATGAATTTGGACGCACTATTCAATCAAAATTCATCAAAACAAGGAGTTTTCTATAGTAACACTTTAAATCTAGCATATTTTTGAAACAATATCATCTGAGCTTAGTATCCTTAAATGTATCTTGAACAACAACAAAAATTTGGAGGAAGACAGAAAAGTAATATTGGGTTTTAAAATTGTAGAATTCAAAATCAAGGAAAAGCCCCTCCTTAATTTTTACAATGAGGAGACTTTAAAAAGTACTTAAAGCAAAACAATCACCTATTCACTGCTGAGCTACGAAGCTGTCATTTTCTTCTAGAAGAAGTCTACAAATTAACCAAAGTAATGGTGAAAATATCAAGAAAATAAAACATTAAAAATTAGTTTAACACGTCATTTTTCTTATCAAATAATCAAATTGTTCAAGAATTTCTTTATTTCTAAACTAAAATGCCAGTAATATTTTCTAAGGTTTTCAAACATGAGAACAGTAGGTATTCTCACTCCTAAGGAGCGGCATCCACTGTGGTCATTTGAAACCCCTCTCTTATAAACCTATCTAAAGATTGTTTTCCAAAAGTAGTATTGTCATTTCTAAATACCTACACATAAAAAACATTTTCCCTCAGATTATTCCACTTCTCCTTTCCCCACTCTTTTTTTAAGTCCAATTTTTATTGTTACCATTATTTTCTAGTGTTTTCAATTTTTACATTATAGACAAAAGAATTAACTTAAGAAATGTCGAAACAAAACTCTCTTTTCAAGCCAAATACTATAGTTAGTTGATAATCATGTTATTTTCCCAATTAACAACCACTCCTTCTGAAGACAACTGTAGTGCTTGTTTCTTATTTGAAATATATTTTTTAAGTCTTACCATCAGGTGGCTCTCTGTCTACCAGCCCTTTCGGAAGCAACTCTTCATTATCTGCCTTTATATAACCACACACTTTTGGAGACTGCAAACGTGAAACATTCTTGATATCTTCAGACTTATAAACTAATATTCTTTTGTCTTTATTATCATTAATTAGTCTCCAAAGTGGCTAAAACAGAAAACATATATAATTGAGATGAAATTATAAGAATTTCTAAACATTAAATTCTTACAACATCCTTTCCTTGTTTTTAGATAACATTCACTTCCAGGTTAAGTAAACTGACTATTTCAATTTTTATCAGAGTTTCTATGTTGGTCAATAAATACAGATTATTCACTCTTTGATTTTATCTCTATATAAAAAAAAGCAGTATTTTACACGAGTTATGAAATCTTTTAGAAGATCCAGAAGAGAAAATGCATATCCTTTTCCACTCATTCACAAAGATTTCTGTAACGCCTACTATATACTGGCACTGTTCTAGGTGATGAACGTACAGCAGCAAACGTTAGACAAGGTTTCTCTTCTTGTAACATGTTCATTCTAGTTTCCTTCACACCTTTTTGCCATGATAGGTTTTATACACAGGAAAGAACAAACACATTTTCATGAGAGACGACTGAAAACTTACAACAATATGCCTAAAACTTACCAGTTTCAGGAAAAGCAGTTTTAAAAAACATCTTCACTTACAATATTACAAGGCCACAATAAATGAGAACTAACATACTCAAGAGGTTACTCAAGTCAAAAGGCTGTTTCTGTTTTTTCAAAACAAAGTTCTCTGCAAGGGTACTGGTCTCATCAGAACCAAGCAGCTTGTGAGAATACCAAAAAAGGTATTTTATTAATCTCCACATTCATCATGGAAATGAAAATCAAAACCACAAGGACACCACTTCATACTCCCTAGAATGACTGTCATCAAAAGAACAGATAATAACAAGTAGTGGCGAGGATATGGAGAAATCAGAACCCTCATATACTGTTGGTATGAATGTAATACAGAATATAAAATGCAATAAACATAAAACGGTGAGAATGTAAAGTGCAGGCACTATGGAAAACATCCTGGCAGTTCCTCAAAAGGTTATAATTAGAGTTACCATATGACCCCAAAATTCCACTTCTAGTACACATCCAAGAGAAGAGAAAATACATGCTCAACATAAAAACTTGTTCACAAATGTTCATAGCAGCATTATTCATAATAGCCAAAAAACAGAAACAACCCAAATGTCCAACTGATGAATGAATAAGCAAAATGTGACATATCCATACAATGGAATATTATTTGGCAATAAAAAGAAATGAAGTACTGACACATGCTACAACACAGATGAACCTTAAAAACATTCTAAGTGAAAAAGTCAGTCACAAAAAAAACACATATTGTGTGATTCCATTTATATGAATGACCAAGCAAATCTAAAGGGACAAAAAGGCAAATCTAAAGATAGAGACAGTAGATCAGTGGTTTCCTACGGCTAGTGGAATTGGGGGAAAGGGTGGTGGGTGCTAAAGGGTACGGGGTTTCTTTTGGGGGTGATGAAAATGTGCTCAAATTGATTGTGGTGATGACTGCATAATTCTCTGAATATACGAAAAACCACTAGATGTACACTTTAAACAGGTGAATTTTATAGTAGGCGAATTATATTTCAATAAAGCTGTTACATATATATATCTTCTTTCATAATTCATGTATGAGGTAGATTTAAGAAACAATGGTTACAGAACCTCAGGGCTGGCAGAGACCTCAAAAAGTTAATTAACCAACATCTCAGGGGCTACAGGGACCTCTACTTGTCCTACAAATAGGAAAAGAGAAAAAACTTTTCTTTTGGATTAAACATTTCTAAATTCATATTAATAGTTTCCTAATTTAGCCAGTCTGGTACAGAAAAAGATATCAGGCTTTGGGATCCGAGATACCTAGGTTCAAACCTCAACTATATCCACTATGTGCCTTAGACAAGTAACTTATCTGAGCATAACTTTCCTCATTGGGTAAAATAGTGGTAATACTATTTTGAAGATAATGTAAGACACTGAAACCAGTTATATATTAAGATTTCAAAATAAAGGTAGTTACTATTACTAATAATAACATCAAATCCTATTATCACCATTATTAATAAGTTGCCAGAAAAAATCATCGGACGAATAACTAAGAAAGAGACAAGAACCTTGACTGGATCCTAAATTGGAAAACAAAAAAATCTACGAAGGAGATTTTGAGGATGACTGGAGATTTTGAGTATGCATTGATTATTAGATAATATGAATTATTTCCATTTTCTGAGGTGTGTTAATTTTATTGTGGCTATATAGAAGATTGCCTTTATTCTTAGGAGATGCACACTGAAGCATTTAGGGTTGAAGAGTCTTCATGTCTGAAACATTTTCAAATGAGTCAGGGAAAAAAAGAGAAATAAAGCAAACATGGCATTATGTTAGCAGTTAATGAAGGGTTATAGGGTGTTCTTTCATTCTTTCTGTAGATTTGAACATTTTCAAAGCAAAAAGTTGGGGAGAAAGAAATCATCTCATGAGTCAAGGTTAACCTAAACTTATTTATATAAAAAGCAAGCTATGACAATAAAATGTGCGATGGCTTAAAAAGTTTAATAGTGAAGTGTTAAAAGTAAGATACATATATTTTCCTGTTCACTCATATGTCTAAGATTTTAGCACAGATGAACAATGATTTTTAATATCAAGGTAAGTGCAAGTAAGAATGATACAATAAAAAATATGAAAAGCACCATTCTAATAAGCCGCTTTTTCAATTAAAAAAATTATTAATCTCATGCAAAAGTCCTTCGATAAATCTGACAAATTTACTTTTAAGTAAATATCTCACAGTGAAATATTAATTATAGCCATTTTTGTACTTAGTGAAACAGGGAGGTACAGATGAAAACAGTACCAAAGGAAGTATTTAGAAAAATGAGGAATCTGAACAAATTTAACTTGGATCCTAAATGCACATATTTTGAATTAAGAATTAACAGAATATTCTAAGGAAATAAGCTGACACATGCACTGCAGCAGAAACAATGCTGTCCATTCCTTATACTGTTTTATCTTTTTAAGCACCAGAGAAGGTGATTTTTCCCAGCCTCCTTTGCAGACAGGTTAGAGACAAATGTTCTAGAACACAGGCAGAAGTGATGGAGGCCACTGCCAAGCCTGGCACTTAAAAAACCGCTGTGGGATTCTCTAGTTCTGTTTCCCTTTTGTGGCAACCTCAGAGGACATGTGTCCCTCTGTCAAAGCTACAAGGTGGAGGAGGACCACTCAACCTACCTAAACCTTCACGAGAGCGAGGAACGAACCTCTGTCGTGTGCACTTACCGCTACCGAGTCACGGCAGCAGCGGATGTGAAAACTTGGCACAGCCTAGACAGAGTTTCCTGTGGTTTCCTAGGGTATTCCCTATCACCAAGACTGTCCTAACTAAACGCATGCACCAAAAGGTGTGCCCATAGCTGTTCAGTACAGCATTTTTTATTTCAAAAATTAGAAACAAAACAATTGAGCATCAATGGGGGAATGGGAGATTGGTTAAATAAATGGTAGAATGTTTCAATGAACCAACAGACAGCATTTATTAAAAACCATAATTTGGATATTAATTTATTAATATGGAAAAATGCTCATATTATATTGTTCAATGAAAAATGCATGAAGACAAACTACATATTGTATGATCCTAATTTTATAAGAAAAAACAGTCTGCATAACTACTTATTTGTGTACATATGCACAGAAAAAATTTGGAAGGATATTCATCAAATGTTAACAGTAGTTCTATCTCCCAGGAGTGAGATTTCAAGTAATCAATTTTCTGATTTTTTCAGGGAGCATGTATTTTTAAAAGAAGATACTTAATAAAAATGGATTGAAAGAATAAGTAAACTTAAGACTTGCTGACTTGACTGATTTGCCTGTTCTAGAGTGAATGTTCATTTACTTTGCACTAATTTTCTGACTCTTTCTGGTATGCCAGATTCCCCTAAAACACTGCATTAACAGACCAAAATAGACTGCAAGGCCAGAGACAAACATTTCCTTTTCACAATCACAGACAGACACATGACTAATGGCCATGCAGTTTGGATGTTATTAAAATTTATAGTATTTATAGCACCAGCACCCTGTCTTACCCCTACTCAGCACTCAAATATACTTGAAACTTTCCTTCTGATCACCCTCACAGTTTTCCCACAGGTGTTCCGTTTTGGTGATCTCACCACCACCCAGAGTTCTCTCATTTTCCTAGAAACACTTCAATCCACAAATCTGTGGCAAACGTTTTGTTTTCTGGACTAGCATTTGACACAGGGCTATGTGTCTTACACAAACATGGCTAGTTTGGTCTCGTTTTCTACTGCTAGTACTTCAATGGGAGAGTGGCCAGAGCCTAAATTTCCTATAGTTTCTCTTTTAACTTCTCAGACTATGAACTATCATCTTTTATTGATCTTGCATTTCCAGAATGTCTAGGAAAGAAAAGGAGAAATAGAGAGAGAAGACTTCGCTTTCATCTCTAAGAACATTTACACTTATAGTAGGATTATTAGAGAAGAATAAAGAAAAAATGAGGCAGAAAGGAAAGAAAGTTTTTTCTTCCTATTATCCATCCCACATGTGACTTTCTCTCAATTATGGTACTTAGAAATATAGGGTGCATCTTATGACAGCTTCTTAGATACGTAAAAAATATTATCTTCTTTTTTTAAAAAAATCATCTATTTTCCTGGTAAAAACTTTAAATACAAGGAGAAAAGAAGTATAATTAAAGACCTCTGTCTTCTTAAAACGACTGAGAAACAACTTTTTAAAAATCAAAGATATATACTCCTGAAAAAAAAAAATTGACATGTTTACCTCTATATTATACTCTGCCCCATCTGTGTTGATTCTTATTGTAATATCATCATCTCCTATGTGGGCTAGGACCCTAGAGTCAGGCTCACCTTAAGAGAAAAAAAAATTTTCGTTATTAAAAAATACTTAGATCAAAAACTAAATTATGCACTACTATCAATAAAAATCAACCAAGTCCTTTATCAGAGTAGGTACTGTCGATACTGTAGGAATCTGCAGAGATCTACAACCAAGAAACACAGGCCCCAGAAAGCAGCTAGATGTTCTCACTCCTAGGGAGTAGCCTTAACTCTAGTTATTTGAAACCCAACTCTTTTCCTCAAGCCACTTATGAGAATTATCTAGAGTGTGTTACAGAACAAAATACAGTGTAGACTTTCTTCTGGAATAAGTTTACCTACTTTGGGGTAAGAAAGAACTAAGAGGAGGCAGAAAGATGATTTGGAATATATAGGTCTCGAATTATACTATTTGGGGGATTTTAATGCCATTTCTTTTTTCCTATTGCAGAAAAAGTTCCAGAAGCAAACTGCAAGTGCTTATTTGATATATTTTCTTAAATAAATACATAACAAGATCATAAAACCCATTATTTTATCTGCTAGCTTCTCTGTTTAAAATCTCATAAGGGAAGCCTAAAATCCTTCCCTGGAAACAAGAGAAGGTTAAATTCTTATCACTTGAAAGGAAATTCATTTTAAATCACCACAATAGCCAGTTAGTAAGCTATGTTGGATAATACCCATTTCCTGCTGTTTAAATGTTTCTGCTTCCAAACTTACACAGCTCTGATAAAACAGACAAAGAACAGCACTTCTCTGACACTCCTTCCTCCCCGCCCCCTAAAAACAGGCAATCAAGTTAGATCTGGACACCCAACACCCCAGCCACTAGGGCAAACAAGCACCGTACTAACCAACCACGTGTCCGCTGAAGAAGTCCTGCCACTTGACGGTGTACTCGCTTTCATCTTTACCATCTACCACCACGACTTTGAAATTCTGGGAAAAGCGTTCAGTACTTGATGTCAGGTATAATTTAAAATGCCTAAAGAAAGAATACATTCATATTTTACTCTAAGCACATAAAATAGAAGCCTAATTTTCATTTAATTAAACTCTCTTAAAAAAAGAAGCTGACAGGGGGCCAGCCCTGTGGCCAAGTGGTTAAGTTCTCGTGCTCCGCTTTGGCAGCCCAGGGTTTCACCAGTTCGGACCCTGGGCACAGACATGGCACCTTTCATTGGGCCATGCTGCAGTGGCATCCTACATGCCACAACCAGAAGGACCCATAACTGAAAAATATACAACTATGTACTGGGGGGATTTGGGGAGAAAAAGCAGGGGGAAAAAAAAAAGATTGGCAACAGTTCTTAACTGAGGTGCCAATCTTTAAAAAAAAAAAAAAAGTTGACAGAGGAGTTGACATTAATAAAACACTATGAAAGTTATAACGACTGTTTTATGAGGTACTCAGAGTATGATATCTCTTGTAAAGACAAATAGACTAATTTCTTTAGTTGTAAGAACCTGGCAGACCAAAAGAAACTAGAACTTGGGGGAAAAAGATTCAAAGACAAGAAAATACACACATCTGGATACTTTAAGTTGGAGTTCTGCTTGTCTTAAAAATTTATTAAAAACTGGTTATTATTAGATACCATTTATTGAAATACCTACTCAGTGCCAGATACTCTGTATGAGTTATCTCCACAAAACACAGTAAAAATTGAGGCTTGGAGGTTAATCAACATACTCAAGGTTACACAGCTAGTAAATGATGAAACTGTAAATTTAACTTGGTTTATTTCAAAAGCCTGTACTATGCTGCCTCTAGCAATCAAGCTGGTTTTATTGCTGTGCAAAATTAACGTACGCTACTTTCTACATTTAAAAGCACTCATGCTTTTTTTTCTCCTTCTAAAGAGAGCTTATCCGGAAAAAAATTAATCCACAATTGCCATGAGGAAAATAAATGTAAGGTATCCAACACAGACATTAAAATACACACTCTAGTTCTTTAGTTGGCTTAATATTCTTTCGTTTTCTACGAGTTTCAGTTCTAACATAAAAACTGGGCATGGTGAGCAAGAATTTTTGAATTATTATTTACAGAGCCCTTTCAAAGTGCCTATGAACACCAAAGATAAAGAAAGTTATGTGTTTCATCTCAGCCACAGAAACAATTTTTTTCAGCTGTGGTGTTGAAAATATGAAATGTTACCTCCCCATGGGTTTGCACAAGTCTAAACTGCCAGAAAGAATCTAGACTAGGACTGTCTCCATGGCAACAAATATTTTTAACTTTTTGAGCATAACAAGGTAATTTTAGTTTCCTTGTGATTTTTTAATGGTCACAGGAAAAAGACAACAGAACATTATGTGAGAAAACCTTGGAACATTTTCTTCTGCTATCTTAAAAGGTACCTTCCCACACATTCACAGCTGTGATTTTTCCCCCCAACAGTTATGCTGACAACTTCTGGGGAAAAAGCATCGCCACTATAAACGCTTTATTACGTAGTTTCAGAGCTCTCTAGGAGTCTCAGTATTACTTTTACTTAATGCTCTTTCCAGGAAAAAAAAAATCACTGGAATTGCACTCTTTGTTTTCTACACTAATATCTGCTCTTTTGTAAAGATAAAGACAAAGTGACGGTAAAATTTCTGTTTTTTGTATTTCCAATCTTCACTTTTGAGCTATAAACCACCAAAAGGATATGTCAGTCAGAATTTATAGTTTACTTTACCTTCCCAAAATTATGAAGTCAGGTACTTACAAGATCTCCTTAAACGTTTTCATTTACCTTTCTGACTTCTAATTTAAGGATTTACAGTAACTACAAACTGGTGCTAATCCATCTGAATTAACATTACTTTCATATCTATTTTTTGTATATATTGCAAAATGATCATCACCATAAGTCTAGTTAACATGTCATGATACATAGTCACAAAATTTTTCTGGTGATGAGAACTTTTTTTTTTTTAAAGATTGGCCCTGAGATAACATCTGTTGCCAATCTTTTTTTTCTTCTTCCCTCCAAGGCCCCCCTAGTACATATTTGTATATTCTAGTTGTAATTCCTTCTGGTTCTGCTATGTGGGACACCGCCTCAGCATGGCTTGATGAGCAGTGCTAGGTCTGCACCCTGGATCCAAACCAGCGAGACCCTGGGCCGCAAAGCAGAGCTCACGAACTTAACCACTCGGCCATGTGGCCGGCCCCATGAGAACCTTTAAGATGTACTCTCTTAGCAATTTTCAAATATGCAATACAATATTATTAACTACAGTCACCATGCTGTACATTACATACCTATAACTTATTTATTTTATAACTGGAAGTTTGTATCTCATATCTATTTTTAATGAGCCATTTAGGTGGGTATATATTACTTTCAAATCTTTATCAGTTCTAGCTCCCTTTTAAAAATTTGAGATATTTCACTTTTAAGAGGAACAAATATCTAACTTTAAAAAAAAATTACATTATCAAAAAAGTATCAAAACAATATCTGTAACTTTTTCATTACTTTAAAATAGTATTTCTTGATTTATAAAAAAGAGAAAATATAACTTCTAGACAAATTTCAAAGTTGTTTTTTTCATAAAATTACTTTTTAACTCATCACACATGTTTCCAAGCTTTTTCAACTACTAATAGTCACATTCAAATTTACTTTTATGATCTTGGTTTAAATTATTTTGCCTCCCACTGCTATCTAAAAACAGAAAATCTAATCATTTACCATGACCATCAAGTCACATGTGGCTTCACATAGGAAAGTTCAGCCCTATACAAACTGACCATTTCAGGTATCCCAATTTTTTTTCTTTGAGTTTAATAACATAGCAGACCAGAAAGGGAAGGGTAAATATGGGCTTTAGCATCTGACAAACCTGGCTCAAATCCTGCCTCCACCACTTACTCACTGTTTGATCTTGGCCTTAACCTCCGAACTTAAGTATCTTCATCTACAAGTGGAAATAATACCACCTACTAACTGAACGGTGTTCAGAGTTAAATGAAATAAACTATTTTAAAGCATCCAGTACAAAGTTCTCAAATTGTTAGATACATTTCCCATTAAACATTTAAGATGGAAATTCTATAAAATAAATTACAAATTTCTCTGCTTTCTTACAGAGAGAGAAGATAAGAAATAGATATTATTTAACATTTTCTTAATGAATCAATGTGATCTATGAAACATAAAAGAGAAGTATGTAAGGTTATGGCAGTACTTGCTCCTATAGCAAGGATCCTAAAAGCCACCTCAAATCTAACTTTAAAAGAAACCCAGAAAGCTAAATTTCAAGTTCTTAGCATTTTATAGTTTTCCTCTCTCCTCCTTTGCTCCTACTCATTTTTTGAGTACTATATCTACTCCTTCACCAAACTCCCCATCAGTATAGGAGAAACAACACAAGTTTTGGACTCAGATTTGTGTTCAAATCCTTTATCTTCCATTTACTAGCTAAGAGACCTTAGGCAAGTTGCCTAACCTCTCTGAGCCTCAGCGTTTTTCGTTTTATCTTCAAATAAGGAATAACAAAAACTATGCAGAGTATGGTGAGAATTAGAGATAATATAGGCAAAGTGCCCAAGTAAAGCATACAGTAAATGACACAAAATAAACACCTGATAAACTCTAGCTATTATTATCACCACTCGGCTCAAATTTGCTAGAGGTTTGGAAGCTAGAAAACCAATATGGCAGTATTTGGACATAAAATCTAACAGAAAGAAATTATTCAAAAGTAATCTAAGGATGATAACAATAACTAGGAAAAATAAAAACAGAAATAGTAAAAAATATTTGCATAAAATATCACTAACACACGATAAATATACTAAGCACTACCACAATTCAGTATCTAAAAGGATAAACCCAACAGAAAAATGGTAAAAGAACATGAAAAGGCAGACATAGAAAAATAAAACAAATGACTTATAAATATATGAAAAGATACTCAATTTCACACAAAATTAAAATCAGAACTATGAGATACCATCCCCTTTCAGAGGGACAAAAGTTACAGGTTGATAAAACCTAGTATTGGCCACAGTAACAGGAAACAGGCAAACTCATATACTGCTGCTAGAAGAATAAACCGGTCTAATGTCTTTAGGAGGAGATATGGTAATACCAATAAACACTTATAATATGTATATCCTTGACCTACCCTCCCTTCAGGAACCTAGCCATAAACATACCTAGACAAGGTATATATAGAGATATTCAGTGCAGTATTGCTTGTTATACAAAAAAAAATATCACTTTGGTTAAACAGTATCTATGTGTAGGGTACTAGTCAATAAACTGTTAAAATTCCATGCAACAGGAATATTTATGCAGCGGTCAAAAATGAGAAATCTATGTTATCTATATCATCTACACAGATACAGACCTATACGCAAAAAATAATGCATTAAAATCTTTTGGGAGGTTGGCCCGGTGGCACAGCAGTTAAGTGCACATGTTCCACTTTAGTGGCCCGGGGTTCACCGGTTCGGATCCCAGGTGCGGACATGGCACCACTTGGCAAAAGCCATGCTGTGGCAGGCGTCCCACATATAAAGTAGAGTAAGATGGGCACGGATGTTAGCTCAGGGCCAGTCTTCCTCAGCAAAGAGAGGAGGATTGGCAGTAGTTAGCTCAGGGCTAATCTTCCTCAAAAAAAAAAAGTGAAAAAAAAAGTGGAGGAAGATGGGCACAGACGTTAGCTCAGGGCCAGTCTTCCTCAGCAAAAGGAGGAGGATTGGCATTGGATGTTAGCTCAGGGCTAATCTTCCTTAAAAAAAATAAATCTTTTGGAAGTTTACACAGGAATCCTCTCTGGGTCTGAGAAGTGCAACTGAGTTAGAAAGAAGTAAAAGTTTCTCACAACCTGTGTAGTTTGTTTTCTAACCAGGTGCATATATTATTTTAAAAAATATCTGTTGGAGAAGGCTTCTCCTATGAATAAAAAATAATTCAGCTCATTTATATTCTCCCAGTGTTTGTTTTTTGATATCAGTAAAGCTCCCTAAAGAGACTTCAGAAAGAGGCCTGTGATTATCTAACAGATTTACATCTGCAAAACGTCAGAGATACTAAAATTACTGCCCAAATAGACCACATCTATCAATCAATGCCAAGACATAAGAGGAATTCAATGTAGAAAGAGCACTGAATTGTAGACCCAGCTCACCACTAGGCTGTGGGGTCCTGAACAAATCCTTTGCCTCTAAACTTCAGTGTCCTCATGTATAAAATAAAGGCAATATTTAGTATACGTCTAACAGTTCTAAAGTAGCACAGAAAACTTAAGGTTTTTTAAGGTTTATAATCATTCAATTAATTAAAATTCTCTGTTAGAATTCCATAAACCTATTACCATCATTAACGCCTTTGGAATACCCATTTACTTGTTTATAATCGGTATGAATTTTAGAATAAGCAATACACTATATAAGAATCATGACAGACTGTAATTATATTATAAATCTTTAAAATGTAACTTCCTAGGACTTCAGTAAACACCCTTATTTTTCTGCCTTTGCCAAACCAAGTCCCTCCATTGCCCCAACATTTTTCTATTAATAATTTAAATTACCTTTTCAAGGCTGAAAACGTCAGCAGTGTTTCTAAATGTGTTGAGGCCTGTAGATCCCTTTTTCTTACCGAGTGCTGCTGGATATTAGATAAAGAGAGGATATCGTAGTCTGAGAGCAAAGAATCAAGCTTCTCTGAAATAAAGGTAAAAAGGTTATTAACAACTAAACCTACCAATCAATTGAAATATCAGTAAAATGAGAGTCAGACAATAAACTCTTCCTGATATAACACATTATGAAGTGCCCAGCAGGACCTACACGAAGTATTCTTACAAAAAACAAAAAATGCAAATTAACCTGACTCTAATCAAGATCAAACTTCCAGTTTTTAAAACATAAAGGGATTAGATGTTGCCAAATTCAATAACAACCTTAGGAAAGCAATGAGCCACACCCAGAAAGTTAGAATTCCTGCAGAACAAATGACCTAATTTCTGGAGGAAATAAATGGCATAAGAAAGAAAGGAGAGGCAGAGACATAATAAACAAGAACACAGGAGGCAAGCCAATGTGTGACTTTTTTGGATCCTAGGGCAAACAAATCAGTTGTGAAAAGATATTTGTGACAATTAGGGAAATCTGAACATGAGTCCATATTCATATTAGATACTAATAATTTCAATATCTCAAAGAGTATTATATTATGCAATGAGGTAACTTCTAAATTAAAGGCATGTCTTTATGTTTAGAATTTCTAAGATCAAGGGGGCAACTTGACCTGCCCATTGCCAACCCGGACTATATCAATTCCTTATCAGTTGACATGTAATAAGAGCGAGCAACAAATGCATTAACAGCCTGAGCAAACAGAAACTGGGAAAGTAAATCTTTTATAGAAAAATCACATATTTCTAACTAAAGAGCAAAAAAGTGGTAACATCCCATCACTGCTGCCTTCAACAGACATAGCAGAATATCAACCCATTGGACACCAGGAAGTAGAAGTGATAAGACCAAAGTAATCCCTAGAAAAAAATCAACATTATTTTACCAGACTGACTTGGAACCCAAGTAAAGCAAAGATGCACTGCCCCTAAGACAGACAAGCACAAAAAATTTTATCAGGTACAAAGCAGGAGCAAACACTATAAAGTATATGCTACCACTACAAGTCACTTTTCATCAACAGGAACTCTGTCGTCTCTTCCAAAATCAGGAGAATTTTTGGAAGACAATTTTGGCGACTTAAGTCTCTGTAGAAACTGTCTAAAAATATTTGAGCTGATGCTTTCCTTTTCTCTCAACAATATCACAGCAGAAGCAATGGTATTCAAAATCATTCCACTGGACTTAGAATGTCCTTAAAATATAGAAGCAGGAGCTTAAAATACAAGTGTATTGCCATTGTGGTTAAATATGCTCACAAAACCATTTTTTAAAAAAGAATCAACCCAATACTCTTCTTCCTCTTCCCCTAAATATTCCCAATTGGTTAATTCATCAATTCATTCGTTCACTGCTATGTGCCAGGCACTGGTCTAAGTCCTGAGATAACCGCATGAAACAGAACAAAGTCCTTGCCTAATGCAGCACTCATGTTAGTGGGGAGAGACAGACAAAGCACAAGAAAATATATACGTCAGTGCTGTGGCCATTAAAGAAGGATAGCAGAGAAAGAGAGTGGGAAGGGCCAGTTTATATAAACTAATCCAAGAAAGAAAAATGCTTCACTGTTACAAAATATTTAAGCAAATCTGAAGAAAGCAAGGGGTAGGCACACTGCTATATGATGAAAGCACTTAAAGTTCACTCAAGGTTCTAACTCAGGATAAGATTAAACAAACTGGCAGCAAATTTTACAGTTAGTGGGTACCACCCATTTTCTGTTAACAAAATTTCCTTTTAAATTTAATCCAGAGAAAAGCTGTTTCAGAAGGCATCAATCACTTTTATGACAATGGCTGGTTATTGGTGATCTGGTCTTACTAATAATAATGCTTAGCGGCACCAATGAAAAACCTTCAAGAAGCTTATCATTTATTCAACAATTTTTGAGTGTTTGTTTTCTACAAGATACCATGCTGGGTGTTTTATTATGTTATCTCCACAAACATCCCCAGGATATTAATCCCCATTTTACAGATGAAGAAACGTTTGACTCAGGGCCGGCCTCGTGGCCGAGTGGTTAAATTCCTGTGCTCTGCTTCGGTGGCCCAGGGCTTCGCCAGTTCAGATCCTGGGCACGGACGCGGCACCGCTCATCAGGCCAGGTTGAGGCAGCGTCCCACGTGCCTCAACTACAAGAACCCACAACTAAAATATACAACTATGTACTGGGGGGATTTGAGGAGAAAAAGAAAAAAAAAAAAAAAGATTGGCAACAGTTGTTAGCTCAGGCACCAATCTTTAAAAAAAAGAGAAACAGGACTCGGAGAAAATAGTATGACAAAGCTAATGTAGCACAGAACTGAGACTTGAACTTGGGTCTGTCTGCCTGAAAACCCTAAGTTTTATTGATGTCATACTTTTGAGACTCCTTAAAAATAGCCTAGCTCTTCTTGGACCTTCTACTTCTTGGCCTCCTACTTTTTGACATGTCAATCAAACATGACCTCACCTCCCTCTGAAGCCTTTTGTTTATACCTTTCTTCTGGCACTTTTGAGTTATATTTGTCTGATCTCACAAATAGATTGTAAAATGGTCAAAAAGGAGCTCTGTTTTAGTCATCACAGCATCCTTACCCCACTATACCCAGTACAGAACCTTGCAAAAAAAGCACTATGCTCACAAATTGCACAAATTCTCATTGCTGAGATGCTGATATGATCCTTCAGCTCTTCAACATCCCTGATACAGGTTGCCACATGACCTCAGTTTCATTCAAGATCATAATCACTCCTACGGACTGAGAAACTTAACCTCAATACTGTAGTTTCATTGTCAATAATATAGGCCAGTCGTTCTCACAGTGTGGTCCTCACACCAGCAGCATCAACATCACATGGGAACTTGTTACAAGGGCCAATTTTCAGGCCTCCTCTCAGTTCTACCCTATCAGAAATCCTTAGGGTGAGGGCCCAGCAATCTGTGTTTAACACCCCTTCCAGGTGATGCTGACACACACTCAAGTTTGAGAACCACTGAACTAGGCTAAAGTAAGGAAATAGCTCAAAGGGAAGAAAAAAGCTTGAAGCACAAAGATGTTCACTGTTCAGCCTTGCATTATTTGTAAGAACAAAAATCAGAAACAAAGTAAATTAATAACTGAGAAACAGAGAAGTTATAATACTTTCAAATGACAAAAAAAATCTGGAATCATTTAAAATGCTGTTAGCAACAAGTTTTTCAGAACATGGGGAAATACTTATGCTATAATATTAAATAAACAAAGGTAGATTTAAAAAACTGCTCAGGGGCCGACTCTGTGGCCGAGGGTTAAGTTCATGTGCTCCGCTTCAGTGGCCCAGTTTCTCTGGTTCAGATACTGGGTGCGGCCATGGCACCACTCGTCAGGCCACGGTGAGGCAGCATCCCACATGCCACAACTAGAAAGAGCCACAACTAAAAATATACAACTACGTGCTGGGGGGATTTGGGGAGAAAAAAGCAGAAGCAAAAAAAAAGAAGATTGGCAACAGATGTTAGCTCAGGTGCCATCTTTAAAAAAAAAAACTATTCATATTGCTTGACCTTAACTATGTACAAAAATAGGCCTAGGGGAAAAAAAGAGCAAAATAGTAACATCATTGGTTATCTGTAGGTATATTTTCTATAATAAGCACTTTTTAAATGTATCTTGCTAAAGCACTTTAAAATACTTAACTAATATATTTCAATAGTAATTTATCTACTTTTAATAACTAGATTAGCTCCAATTGGATGTCCTGGAGCCATTATAAATGGTAAAAGCACTCCCGTTGTCCAAAAAACTGACCTCCTGCCCTTGCTACTGTCCTTTCACTAGCAAGTAACCTCTCAGATACTCATTATTACATCGCACTTCACTTTCAAAATTCTAACCACTGGTCATCCAATTTTCTATAGCTTTTTCAACAGAATTTACATTTCCCCCACTTCCCAAGAGTTTATCCTTTATGCATATCCAAATGTCTTAATAAATTTAAGTATAAACCACTTAACTGTATCTTTCTTAGCTCAGAGTATGGTCATAATCTCTTTTTGAAAAACTCCACAATGGCTGCCCAGCACTCTAGAATGAGAACACCTTCCTTGCTCTCTTTAAGTTGCTCCAGCAATCTCCCTAAGACTTGAGTCACCAGACTCGAGCACTGGATTATTTAGGTGTCCTCTCCCCAGCTCTCCCTGCTCTTCCCTGCCACATGCTACAGTTTCCCTCACTTGGCTTCCTCTGTCTATTCGTCCTCAGAGACCCTACCCTTCCTCAATGCTTTTGTATCTTTTCCACCCCCATACCCATCCCTCCTTTCTTGCACACACATTCTGCACTTATTTCTCCTCTTTCCACCTATTCATTTATTCAACAAATATTTACTGAAAACCTCCTACCTTCCAGGCACTAGGGATGTAACGGAGAGGAAGAGAAACAACACAAAAAAATTATTATAAAGTACGTCAAGTGCCGTGCTCGCTTCGGCAGCACATATACTAAAATTGGAACGATACAGAGAAGATTAGCATGGCCCCTGCGCAAGGATGACACGCAAATTCGTGAAGCGTTCCATATTTTTCCCAATCAGAATCCCAAGAACATTCTTCACAGAAATTGAACAAACAATCCTAAAATTCATATGGGGCAACAAAAGACCGCGAATTGCTAAAGCAATCCTGAGCAAGAAAAACAAAGCCGGCGGAATCACAATCCCCGATTTCAAAACATACTACAAAGCTACAGTGATCAAAACAGCATGGTACTGGTACAAAAACAGGTCCACAGATCAATGGAACAGAATTGAAAGCCCAGAGATAAAACCACACATCTATGGACAGCTAATCTTCGACAAAGGAGCAGAGGGCCTACAATGGAGAAAAGAAAGTCTCTTCAACAAATGGTGCTGGGAAAACTGGACAGCCACATGCAAAAGATTGAAAATTGACCATTCTTTTTCACCACACACCAAAATAAACTCAAAATGGATCAAAGACCTAAAGATTAGGCCTGAGACAATAAGTCTTTTGGAAGAGAATATAGGCAGTACACTCTTTGACATCA